TATTTTAAATATTTCGATTGGCATCGAATCAAATTTTTCATAATATAATCACTCATAGTTGTATTTATTTTTGAACACCATTTACTTTCTTAACTAAGTTTAACTCAACGTAAATTCAAATCAGATGATTTTATATAACTTTTATAAAATGTGTAGGCATTCCTACAGTTTCTGTTGTTTTTCAAACCGATATATTTATACATGAGTTACCTAAATGTTAGTATTTAAACGAGAAGTATTCGTATTGTTTATTAAATAAGAAAATTATTGGTATCGCTTCAAACTAATATATTCATATTTAGTTAAATTCATACGTTTTTAGTTTAATACAAAATACACTTGTTCATATAAGTATCAAGTATATTCATCATAAAATATATATTTGTAATTTTATAGAATTAATCAGTATAGCTAAATCAGATCTTTTGGTATCGTTTTTATAAAATGTGTACTAGAAGCATGATATTTTTTTTTAATTGATAAAATCTTTTTTAAAGAAGCTTCTCATTTTTTTTTAGTTAAATATGAAAACATGTTATTATTTGAACAATACACGTGTAAAAAAATTGTCTGCTTATGTACTACAGCTTGATAATGGATTACAATTCCTGACGACTCATTTTAAAATAATTATAAAATGTACAGTATTTTTTAAACCTAACTACAAAATACTTTGATTAAACCGTTAAAATGTTATGATATTCTGATAACGTGTAAAAAAAATAGATTAAGAACATGTCAATGGGATGATAAGATATGTTTTGTGATTGATATAAAAAATTGGTTCCCTAAACAATTTTGTTATACAATATACATGGCTTTCATGGTTTAAAATATATTTTCGGTGTTAAATAAAACATGGTTATTTGTTAGTATCCTATCAAAAAGAATTCGTAAAGTATATTTAATCTGATCGTTTGGTATTGCTTTTATAAAATGTATACTAGTAATATTATATATTTTGCTTTTTGGTTTTTTTTTTAAACCGATAAATTTGTTTATAGGTAATCTTCATATTTTTTCAGTTCAATATGAAAACATGTTATTATTTACACAATACATGTACATACTATTTTTCTGCTTATGTACTACAACTTAAGATCTATCAGAGGCATCGCTGTATCTAATAGTTTGCCATCATAATTTACCACATACGAGTTTCATCGATACGCAGAATTTAAATTATCTTAACAGATTTCAATTCCTGCCGTGTCTTTTAAAACGTTTTTTTTCATTATTTTAACCATGCATTATTTTTCTACTTATTTACTACACCTTTAGGTATTTTAGAGGCCATTGTCTCCGGGGAGATTTACATTCCTGATAAATAATTAATAATCTATTATAACTATAACATCTTCATTTTTGATACCCCATTTCATATATATTAACACTTAATTTACAAAGTGCGAAAAAATATATTTAAAATTCAAATAATATATATTTTAAGATTATTGAAAGCAAATAAGTCAATTCAATGCATTTATTTATATTTAACTGACCAATAAATGTATGACTCATTAAAAAAATAATCTTGGCTACGGGCTACGAATTATAAACGCAGTAGTTGTTATGCCGATTGACAAAACCAAAAAATGTATTACTTGTTTACACAACCGCCCTATAATAAAATGTTAATGTACCTACAGTGTTACAACTAATACTTTTGAGGCATCAAAACTAATAGTTTTTAACGGTTAAATACAGTTGTTTCTTTTTGCATTTGACCATTGATTCACTTTTCTCGGATATTTGTGTCCTTGTTTTTAATGTATCATTTAGTTTTTGATCAATGTATTATAAATAAACACATATTCAGATTAGACTATAACTCCAGTCTAATTTTCAGCTCTTAAATATTAAAGGAGTAACCTAACCTAACCTTTCCCGATTTTGACACTACTCTAATTAAATGTTGTATATATATGTGTGTGTGTGTGTATACTATATTGATTATCAAAAACTAAGACGGAGCAGCTAAGGTTAATTTATAATTTTAATACGCTAGTTATTTAACATTTTTATATTTTATAATATTTAAAAATACAATTTTACAAATCACCCAAAAAGTACAATATTCAACTAACACAAAAAAAACACACACCCTAAAGTTTTAAAAATTAATACATAAACCTTGAATTTGTATTTAAATAAACTTAAATTTAAAAATTTAATTTGATTTTTTAATATAGAGAACGGCGATAGGATGTTGGATGTTGTAGTAAATTTGTAGCCCTAATATATTGATATAAAAATAAATTAACAATGCAATAATAATAACACAATATGTAAAATTATATAAAATGTAATATCCTTCAGTTGAGGAATAAACAAAAAATGTGTAAGGGTGAACATTTTACTAGGCTGGGGGTTGTAAATGTTTAAATCCACCACCGGCCGGTGTTGTAGCGTATTCATTATTTTTTAAAAACCATTAATCTATAAAATTCGTCCCATGACATACCATCATCTAGAAATCAATTAAAAAGTATTTACATTAAATTTTATCAAACTATACAATGCTGTAACGAGTCGAGTGGTTGCAATTATTATTATTGCGTTTTTATGTACAAAGTTTGGCCATGACGGGTGTTATGAAAAGCCATCTTAAATCAATAATTTAGTTTTTGAATAATTTAAAATTGTGTCAAAAAAGCATTTTTTCTGCTGAGTCTGACACCACGAGAGAGCATTTTCATGTATCTAAGGTGGCTAGGAAACATATCAAGCTTCTGATTAATATTTTAGTGTTTCATATCTGGCTTAAAACAATTCATAGAGAATTTATGCCCTAAAAATATTTTGAATTTATAATATTAGTTCTAATTTGAACGTTGAACGTACAACATAATATATCCTATCTCTTATCAGATAACAGCGTAACGCTTTTTGACATTTTTATGTAATTGCTCTGGTACATAACCGAAAAAAGCGTTATCGAAAAAGCGTAACGAAAAAATCGTTCTTAACAAAAGCGTTCTGTACCAAAGCATTACAAAAGCGTTACAGGGGGTAGAAGATAGGAATTGGGAGACAGGGAGTGGAAGATAGGGATAGGAGATAGGGGTGGAAGATAGAGATGGGAGATAGGGGTAGGAGATAGGGGTTGGGAGATAGGGGTATGAGGTAAGAGATATGTTGTACGTTCAACGTTCAAATTGGAACTAAATGATCAATTCAAAATAGTTTAAGGGCCCAAATTCTCTATGAATTGTTTTGAGCCAAATATTAAACACTACAATTTTAGACAGAAACTTGATGTTTTAATATACTAGCATGTTACTGCATCTTAATATACTATATCATTATCTATAATTCCACCACTACCTAAATTTATTCGGTACTTCAACGAGACATGAAAATGCTCTTTCGTGGTTGCAGACTCGGCTGAAAAACTTTTTTTTTGGTAATTCTTTTTCGGTTATGTGCCAGAGCTAAGACATGAAAATGTTAAAAAATTTCATGAGCAATGTTAAAAAATGAATACTTCAATATCAAACAAAATCAGTCTAATTGTCATAAAATTGTTTTGTAACATATTTCGTAGAAAAAGAAGATAAAAGCGTTTTACATTTTTATAACTTGTTCTTTCTACGTACCTTTTAATGGTTCAGTTATCACTTCGATTTCTTCCAGTTTTAGTGTCTTCCGTAAATACTCTTTAACTGTGCTCTTGTTAACTGAATCGTAATTGTGGATATCCGTAAAAATATTATATAGTTGCTAAAATCATAAAATGTTTTTTTTTAATTATATCATATATTAGGATACTGGATGAAAAAAAAATCATAATTACCCAAAGATTAAATTTTGATGTTATTACTGCTATAAATTCATCTTGTGACATTGTATTACCTAGAAAGCATTTAAAGAGTATTCACATTAAAATTTACTAAACTATAATATGCTGTAACGAATGGAGTTCAGTTTTCAAACAAACTACAATCGCGTTGACAACAAAAAATTCTTTGGGAATGTCGGTATATGAATGCTTCAATAATTACTACAATTAGTGTAACTATTATAAAACGTTTCCTATTCTAACACGACTTGTAAAAAAACCCAGATAAAAGCGTTTTATATTGTTATAGTAACTTGTTCTACCTAACTACCTTTACAGACACCTTCTGCATTTTTTTTTTGACATTTTCATGTCTTAGCTCTGACACAAAGCCGAAATACTTGTCATGAAAAACTTGTCCCGAAATACTTGGGGGGTAATAATAGGGATAGAAAATAATTGGGCAGTAATAATGGGGGTAGAAAATTATTGGGGGTGGGAATTGGGTTGTGGGTGGGAATGGAGTTGGGGGTGAGAATAATGCCAGATATTATGAAAACTCTAAAATATAAGATAACTTAATCTAACCTAACCTTAGATACTAGCTTGTTAATATACTATTTCATTATCTATAATTACACCACTACTCTAAATTTATTCAGTACTTCAACGAGACAAGAAAATGCTCTTTCGTGATTGCAGACTCGGCTGAAAAACTTTATTTTTTACCACCGACGCCTTTTTCATAATAGTATAAATACCCCTCAGAAATGTTGGAAAAAACACACTACCCAATACCTATCGATATTTATTCCTATTTACTTATGTAAAACACCGAAGTGATTATTAGTTTTCACATTTCACATATATATTTTACAATATCAATTAATAAATTATTATTATTATTCAACGTACTCCACACGGAATAAAGTATCTTATCGTCATCGATTTTAGAAATATCAAATTCCCTGCGCACGTTTTCTTGCGTTATGTAATCTTTTGTTGTACTCTTGTTAACAGGTTTGCCTTGATCTAAAATGCTATTATAAAGTCTGGCTAGTTCCTAAAATTATTAACATTTTTAATATGTAATGTGAATACTGTTTTTTTAGAATTGATGTGTCTCGAATTTTTACTATTATATTAATCAATAGCTTTATAGAGAATTACATTTTTTATTAATGAATTATATAATTAGATAGAAAAAAATTTTAATTACCGACGGATCTTCGCAAATCCCTGCATTTGCTGTATACAAATGAACAATCAAGTATAAAAACAATATACAATTTTTATAATTCATTATTGTGTGTTTTTTTTCAATGCTAAAGATATTCGAATACTGTTCTGCCGTTGTTTAAAACTTAAATGATTATTATTCTTTTAAACGGCTTCTGTCATAGCGATTTCAGTGTAAAAAGTATAAAAGTTGTAAAAACGCATATGAATTTTGTTTGTTCAATGTAGTTTAAAATTAAATTTTGAAATAAATAATCGTGGCTATAGCCTATCAATCGTATAAAAATAATAGTTGTTTTGCCGTTTGACAAAAACAAAAAATGTATCTAGTACCTATTTACAAAACCGTCACATAGCAATATATTACTTTTTAGCTTGTTGTGAACCAACCGTTTTGTAGGAAATACTTTTTTAAATGACTGACAAAATATCATTGAATAATAGTGTGGTATTATATTGGTGAAATCATATAAAAGATACAAAAAAATATGGTTTTCCAATTTGGTTTTCTAAAGAATTAATATCATTAATTCGTAAAAAAATAAGCTTCATAAGAAATTTAAGCAAAATGGTTCACCGTCTATCTATAATGAATTCTCAGAAACAAGGGCTTTATGCAAGACTTTGTCAAAAAGTTGTTACTCAAATAATTTGTGTAAGGTATAAAATAGTTTAATCATAGGCGCAATTTCAATTTTTAATTTGGGGGGGGGGGCAGGAATTTTTTTTAAAATGTATTCTAAGTAAATATATTTTTGTACTTCAAAATTGTGTGCATAACCTAATTTTTTGGGGGGGCTAAGCCCACCCTAGCCCTCCCGTATTTGCACCTATGAGTTTAATGTCCAATCCAAAATACTTTTGGACTTATTGGTGAATTGCTTACCTACTTTTTTAGAGTTTGATAATTCTCAATCTGATAATTTAAATGATATAGTAAATATGTTTGGTCAATATTTCGGTTCAGTTTACTCAACTTCTTGTAACATTAGTAATGGATCATTTAATAACATACAGTCTGAATGTATCGATCTAAGAAAATGTACTCTTACAATCCCGGAAGTTTTCAATGGCCTTTTGAAGCTACGTGCGAATATTACAGCTGGTCCAGATCAAATTCCTGAGTTTTTTTTTTAGAAATTGTTGCTATTCCCTTACTCGCCCTATGCATTTCCTTTTTTCATTATCCTTGTCGTCAGGTACTTTCCCATCATGTTGGAAAACTAGCTACATTTATCCAATTTTTAAGTCTGGGCCTAGATCAGATGTACGAAATTACAGACCGATAACTAGGCTAAGTGTATTACCAAAATTATTTGAAAAATTATTAGAGCCATAACTTACATACTTATTTCATCCAGTTGTGGTTAAGAACCAACATGGACTTAGATCATCCAAATCAACAGTTACTAATTTGTTAGTATATTACACGGACTTAATGTCCGTAGTCTCTAAAGGGGGGCGTGTTGATGCCATTTATACAGACTTAAAAAAAGCGTTTGATAGTGTTGGGAATAGGGAATCCGATGATAAATTGGTTTTCGTCATATCTTAAGGGTTGCCCCAGGATGGGCATTTGTCTCCTCTTTTATTTATTGTATTTATAAATGATCTTTGTAACAAGTTTAACCATTGTAAGTCTTTGTTGTTATTTGCCGACAAGCTATTTTTGTAAACTACAGTCTGCTTTAGACACATTTTACCATTGGTCGTTTAAAAACGGATCGCAAATTAATGAAAGTAAATATTTTCAAATTACTTTTACTAGATCTAAAATTCAAAATTATCACCAGTATGTAATAAATTACTGAAATCTCATTGCTGTAAATCATGTTAAAGATCTTGGAGTTTTTCTATCTAGTGACTTATCTTTTACGAAACACATCACATATATTTGTAACAAAGCAAAATATTGCATGCTTAAAAACCTTATATATTGCACTTGTTCGGTCTATCTTGGAGTATGGATCTATTGTATGGTCTACATATTTTGCTGGTGATATCAATAAAACTGAATCGTTACAACATCGATTTTTAACTTTAGTATCTCACTGGACAAACAATAGGGAAATTAAACATGATTATCTGCTTAATAATTTGAAAATGCAGTCCCTGTTATGCAGAAGAAAATGCTTGGACGTAAACTGGATTTATAATTTACTTAATAATAAAATTGACTGTCCCATGCACAAGATTACAGTAGCAATTCGTTTTTTTCCATTATTTTAACAATACCCATGCACATTATTTTTTAACTTATTTACTATAGGTTAGGTTCATTTCATCCCATTTTATATACATATATTAACACTTAATTTACAAAGTGCGAAATGAATAAATTTAAAATTCAAATAATATCTATTTTAGGATTATTGTAATAAAATACTACCTGAAAGGATTTTTTTTTTATAATATCCTTTATTGGATAATACGATGGCTCAACAAGAAGGTAGGTACTTTATTTGGCTAATAATAACAAAATCCACCCCTTCCCCTTCAAAACACCCAAAATATGTACATATTTCTCAACATAAAATTGCGATATATTTGTATATGAGTAACCTTATTATTTTTGTGTTTAGTACAAAAACATGGTTTTTATAAGTTGAACAATACTTATGCACATTATTTTTCTACTTATTTTGCATACCTTTATTTATTCTTTAAGAGGCCTCTGTTCGTATTGTATATTAGATAAGATAAATTGGTATCGCTTCAAATCGATAAATTCGTATTTAGGTAACTTCATACTTTTTTAGTTTAATACAAAAACATGTAGGTAATTATTTGAACAATACACGTGCAAAATATTTTTCTGCTCTAGCCTGGCTGTGATGTTTTTGCGATTTCAGTGTAAAACCTAATAAATGCATATGTATATTGTTATTTCAATATAAGTTGAAATTTTAGAATTAATAATCGTGACTACAGCCTATGAATCATAAAAAACCAGCAGTTGTTTTTAAATATTATGTGACCTTAATATTTTCTTTAGTGTTTTGTACAAAAACATATTTTTTTATTATTTGAACAATACTTATGCACGTTATTTTTCTACTTATTTTGCACACCTTTAGATCTTTATGAAGTCTATTTAAAATAATTACAATATCTTCAAAATTTCTGATAACCCATTTCATACATTTAATCTTTAATTTTAACACATTATTTATGATGTACGAAATCAATACATTTGATAAAACAGTAGGTGTTTGGCCGTTTGACAAAAACAAAAAATGTATCTATTACTACCATATTGATATTATTATTTTAGACGTTTCATTATTTGTAGGTTTCTTTCATATGATTGCTTACCCAAGTTTAGAAAGGAATCCTGGAATTTATTTCCACATTTTTTTTAACGAAAGAAACAAGGTTCAAACATAATATTTTTGAACAATAGTTTTATATTATAAAATATATTTTATTAACTTTTTAAATTAGGAATATTTAACTAAAAGTTTTGATTGGTCGACAACCAGTCTTGAACCACAATTTTTAAATTTATGAGTTTAAAAATTAGGACAAGTGCGAGTGGGAACTGGGAAGTATGATAAAAAAATCACTCTGTATACATGACGTTTAATATAATATTATTGGCCTAAAAACCAAATGTTACACCTAAAATATCGAAAAAGATGTGCGTGGTCAATGTTATATAATGATTAAAACATCTATTAAATTTCTATCGTTCACTGGCAGAGACTGCAGCTGATTTTCACTTCACTTACATTGAATTTGTACATAACAATAGAATACCTAGGTGTTTGTTTTTACAATAATGTTGACATTTTTCATACAAATTCGATACATTGTTATAATTTGTTTTTGTAGAGCAACCATAATTTTCCATGATTGTAAATAATTATTGTTTTAGTTTGTATTTAAATAGATACTGGAGTTGTCACTGAATAGATTTGTAAATTTACAAATTGGATAGAAACGGAATTTTTGCATATTATTGCTTAAAACAAAGCGCCAGACCGACACTGTATTTCATTAGGTTTATTATGGTTATTATCTCATCCAATCATTGAGATGGGTAAATCTAAAATTATAATCATATAATGTTGGAATATTACAACATTACATTAACAATTTTTATAAAATACATCAAATACGTTAATTAATATTTTAAAAACCAATATACTTGGTCAAATGAGATGGATCATTACTATTTACTCCTTAATAATATGTGGGCTGGCCGCAAAACAAACACCATCGTCTGTTGTATACAAATATTGTGAATGTTGGCACGACTGAGAGGCGGTAATGATAACAACAATGCATTGCAACAGCTGTTTTGAAAGAATTGAGAAAACAAATTTATGATAACAATTTTCTTTTTTTTGTGGTTAACTCGCGGCCTGTGACGTTTCACACGTTAGCCATACGTTAAAATTTGCCGACATCGTGTGTGTGTGTTCCGGAATTTTTGTACGTTGCACGTTGTAGAGAGAAAAAATTTGTACAAACCCTATAAGAAAAAGTAATACACAAAACGACAGTTCCATTCGTTGGTTCGAACAAAGTGGACCTGTTAAGAAGTCCAAAAACACGTGAATTTTCAGAGTTACCGTTTTTCCAATCCACCGTCGTCAAATGTAAAAGTGGGTAAGTTTGTATATATATTTTTTTTTTCAATTTTACCGAATCGCCACGTAGTGTTTTACCTTTTGCTGTTCCTATTAAAGTGTATTAACGCTTCTGCTAATTACTGTGCTTATGTTAAATGCCAGTTTCATTCCCTATAAATACCTATAATACCTAGCTACTTTTGGCTCTTGTCGTGGGTTTGATGTCCGAAATTTGGTCGGCCAATGAGTTGGTTGTGTACGAAAGCGAGAAACCCAACAATCGCTTGTTGCGTTTCTCTCGTGTACGACCGATCGACACCAAGGTCATACTTGGCCGGCACAAATTTACGCTTCTATATCGGTATTGTGACATATTTTTTGTTTTTTTTAGGTCGAGATGTCGTCCTATCGGTCACCCAAAAGTGGTACACACCACTTGCGTCCGCCCAGCACTAGTACACCGTCTTTGTTGAAAAAACGTAACGTTGCTGCGTTAAATAACGTGCCCAAGGCAAAAGTACAGTTTAACCTCGTCGAAAATTTGAAGGCGCTGCTCATCAGCTTCAACCAAAACGTAGACAAGGAAAAACTACAGTACAACAATTTAATCTGTAACATCAGGGATACGGGCATCGAAATAAAGGTATTGGTCGTTATTGTTATTGGTATCATTTGCTTGGATAAGAACATTTTATTTTTTATTTTCTTAAGGCGTTATTCTCTTAAGGTGGTAATATGTTATGTATTGCAACTTTTGATATATTCATGCTGCAATTTAAACATAAACACTACCTAGGTTACATTTAATTTACGTAGGTATTATCCCTTTTTGGTTAATGTATTCAGTCATTTATTGGTGAGATAAATAAAAAATATGATCTGACCCGACCAACTAAAATACATAACCTAATACATTTACACTATTATTTCACCTAATAATGGTCAGGTAATGTGACCTAACATTGTGTATGGTGTAAATTAGGGCAGTGTAATTAATTAATTAGTTATTTAAACAGGTTTAATAAAAAAAAAATGTTTAAGAAATGTTCGATATATATTGTCTGGCTCTCCTGTATACCTAGTTCATAACTAGGTAGGACTACCATTTTAAAGTTATTTTTTAATTTAAATACAAATTAAATTGTAATTTAATATTTATATGTTTGGTGATTTGTGTTGTATATTGAAAGCCAAGTTTTCTAATTATTTTATCACGTTGTTATTTTATAGAATTTATCGTAACCCAATAGCGGGACACGAGTCGAGGAGACATTGTCTCTTTTGGAGATTTGTCACTGCTAAAATCAATGCAAATGCACTAAAATCAAATTTTTTTTTATCATCTTATACTAAAATTATTAAAAACATTTTCTCGATATTAAATTCAGTTTTACTCAATTAAATAAAATCTTGCGCAATAGCCTCACGTCAAACAATCTATACATGAAAAAATAATAAAAATGTATTGTTATCTCGATGTCTTCAACATTTTCGATGCCACTTGTAAACATGTTTCATCAATATTTTTAAGGAATGACTATAAATTGTCTTTTTTTATTATTATTTTTTTTTATGGTAAATTATTTGCATACCTGCCTAACATATTTGACGTTTATCGGATTCAGCCATAAATTAATCGCATTACAGATTGCGCCCAAGCCCAAGAATATTTCCCAAATGAATATAGTAGCTGCGATGACCTTGTTGAATACAGTCCAAAATGTTAATGTGGGGGTTGAACGAAGAGCAAAATATGTGCCAGATTTCACCAGAGTAGCGCGTCAAATACAATACCTATATGTTAAGTCATATACAGGTGAGAACTTATTGGTTTAAAAAAAAAAACGCAGTAGGAGTAAGCACCATAATTGAAAAACGATATATTTCGAGCTCTGCGAGTAGACATGTTTGCAATTGTAAAGCAATAGGTGTACACATTGTTGTAGTGGCTGATTGACGACAAAAAATCAAATGAACTTACTTGAAATGAGCTTGAAATTTCATAGTGCCAATATTTTATTTTAACCTACATTGTTTTTTTAGTTTTGATTGACGGAATTATTTTACAAAGTTTTCGTTGATCTCTGTTTGACGTCTTTTTTTTTCAATTTATTTTTCATTACGTTTTTTTAAAATGATTTTCAGGATGCCGAGCTGATAAAATTACTCAAAGACGCGAGGAATTGTATCAACATATTGAACGAAAACCTGACGCTGTTTGTTAAAGTTATATTGGTAATGTTTTGTCCTAACTATCTGTGCTATGTTCTTAGTCAATGTAAACAATTTAAAAACTAAATAATTTTTTATTAATCAGGTGTTGAAATGGATGAACAGAAGCGATGAAGTGGTCAACGAGTACCGCAAGTTCTTATTGGACGTGTGTTCCGCTCATAACTACCATACGAAATTCGCTATAGAACAGCTTGTGTCTTGTTTTTCCGAAGGTAAATGACTGTTGGATTCTTTATAATAACTTATTTTATAATGTATATATATTTTTTTTTTTTTTCAGTTAACAGCCTAGTAGTAGATCGTGTCAACGGAATGCCTAGTGAAGACGAAGAAAAAGGCTATCAAAATGTACACAAAACTCTTAGAGATCTACTCAAAGTGATTCCCTTGTAAGATTTGATTGATTTATTATTATTATATATTTTTTTTAATGTGCTTATTCTATGAAATATTAATTTCAGAGCAAAAGACATCCTAATGGCTGCGTTGCAGAAGAAATTCCCGTTCAAGAGAAATAATCCTGAGGCTCATTTGCATTATATACACAATTTATTCATGATATTAGACTATGAACCGTCGTTGAGGAAAAACATTCTTGGTCTTATTATACACAAGTAAATAATAATTCCCATAACTCTTAACTCATTAATTTTAATTTATAAAACATTTTATAGGCTAGTAGAAATTGACGCCCACATACCCAAAGAGGAACTCGATCGTCTAAAAAATTGTTTGACCGTTGAAACAGAAGATATTTTCGAGATGGACATCGATGAAGCCAGTATGCAGGCTGATCCGGTGAAAAGAGAGGCTGAATGTCTTTTACGGACATTAGACTTAAGTATTCTCAGGATATTTGAATTTTTTAACTTGTCTTGTCACGATAAGGACGGAATATTAATGTACGCAATCATAATGAATTCAATGGTCATATGTAAATATTGTTATAACTGATAACATTGAATATTTTTCAGATGGGACAACACTAAATCGTTGTACCAAGATTTGTTAGCAGTATTTGAAAGTGAAATATTACCTACTTACGCAAGTAGTCATATCCAATACATAGTTTATTACTTTGTCAGCTTTAAGGCGACGTTGTCTGAGAAATTTAGTAATTATTTGTGGAAGAAATGTTGCGATATGTCAGCGCCTTCGACTTTACGTCAAGCCGCTGCCGGTTATCTAGCCAGTTTCTTGAGTCGAGCTCCATTTGTTTCCATCAAGTAAGCAGATGATGATATAATACAATAACGTGCTAGCTAACATGTGGTTTCTTTAAAAATGTCTAGCGTTTTGAAAACGGCGTTGAGCGATTTGTCAACATGGTGCGTTAACTATATCAACAGAGTAGACAAGTCTGTAAAAGTGGTCAACGAAGAACTGCTGCGCTGGCACGCCGTGTTCTATTCCATGTGCCAAGCGTTGTTCTACGTAATAGCTTTTAGGCATGAAGACCTGATGGATAGTAAAAGAAGTATGAATCGTTTGAAATATAATTATAATACTAATCAGATGCATAACTTAAGAGTGATTATCTTAATTTTTTTTTTCTTTTTTTGCAGATCTTAAATTCATGGAAAATTTGAACCTTTCCAAAATAGTTACATCCCGGCTGAGTCCTTTGAGGATATGTTGTTCGAAAGTGGCCAATCACTTTGCACACATTACTAAAACCTATCAACTCACGTACTGTTATACCGTCATGGACGGTCACATTAGGGTAACCGATCAGGCCATTAAAGAGCAATGGCTTTATTCGTTCTTCCCGTTCGAACCTTATGTTCTTCCTAGGTAATTTTTTCACATAGAACAATATTTGAGATCATGCGATACGCGTTTTCTTGTTAATCGATCGTATACAAAATGTTTTTCTTTTATTTTAGATCAAAAGACATAATAATGCCAAATTTGTTCAGAGACTTTGGTAGTAATTTAAACGGCAGCTCTACGATAGAAGAGGACGAAGAGAAAGACTCATCCCTCATTGAAAATATGGATATTAGTCCGAGTTTTTTGACTTCAAGTTCTCCAGCGAAAACCGATTGGTTACGCCAACTAATTAGTCAGCAAAACCCGTGATATCACTGTCTTTATTATATTGTGATGTTATTAATAAAAGTAAAAATTGAAATCAATTGTATATTATTTGGACAACTCATGGTATGTCTACCAAATAGTTTATAGACTTGAAGGGAAACAACTGTAACGACAAAACAAACGTGTCACTAATATATCTTTCATTCAAGATGAAGTAAGGAAAATATAGATATAATTTCCTCAAATAAAGAAAAAAACTTACTCTGTTCATCTTGATTACCAAAATTTATTTTAAAAAAAATCTCTACAAAATAAATAAAATTTTTGGTTCATAATATATAAATAAACATTTTTATTCAGCTAGAGCGCAAAATGTAAATTGTACTTTTTTTGATTTTATCAAATAGATACCAAATTGGAAAATACGATAATCATAAAAAAGCTTATCACAATATTCGTAAATCAAATAGAAATGTCTGCATTTACCTAATTTGTAACATAATATTTTAATATGTGTATCGCAGTATATATGGTTGATTTTTTACACAAAACCCATTATTATTTTGACTAATTTTTTTTTTTTTTATAAAATATAGAAAATATAATATGGCCAAATAGAGTCTATCATCTTGTCATTTGTATTTATAATATAATTGTCATGGTTTTACTAAATTGACTATTACCCTTTAGACCCCAGAGCATATACCTTATTAGAATTGACGATTCTATCGAGTTTGTTATAAAACGCTATAACATCCGGATTGGCCCACACGTGTTTTTTATCGAAATCTGTAATTTTCAATGAACTTAAACTTTTGGCTCGAGACAGAGCGACATAAGCTTGACCCGCTTCAAACACCCGACCTAGAGATATTTCAACGCAGTCCAACGTCAATCCCTGTAAAACGAATGATATAATATGTTTAATTTAATAAATTAGTGGATTTTTTTTAACTTTTCACATTTTTTTAATTACCTGTGATTTATGAATAGAGAACGCCCAAGCCAATTTCAAGGGCAATTGTTGTCTCGACAGAAACTGTCCGCTGGGTGTTTTCACAACCCATTTTTCCGACTTAACAGTAACTGTATTACCATTTTTAAATTGCACAATTGGAGATCCATTTTTATCAAATTTTTGCACTACTCCCCTAGCTCCGTTCACCAACCCAGTAGACACGTTAATGTTTTTTACCAACATTACTTGAGCGCCAGGTTTAAGAACAATGGTTTTCAACACCGGCGTCAAATCGTCCAACATTTTTGTCAAACCACTGTCGAAAGCTTCAAATTTAGATTCCTCTCCCGGCAAATCCGATAACTTTTTTTGATTAATCATTTGAGCGTCTGCAGTACGACAGCAAAGTCGAGTGGGTACGATATCTCCTTGTTGCAATGAATTTGACGCGGTGGCTTTTAACGCCACTGCCGTCTCAGGCGATATTCTAGAAAGTCATAATTTATTAACTATCAAGACGTGTACTCGAACAGATTAATTTAAGTTTAAATTGGACATTACTTTCCAATTCGTAGATCGTTTAAAATTTTTATAAATTTATCATCGGTTTGCCTGTGCACGGTTTTCAAGTTGAAACACTGAAAACGACAATGTGCCCAAGCGAGCGTTTGGAAACAGAACCTCGCCTTTGATTGTTTTACAGGCGGTAGTTGTAAAAAGTCGCCACACAACACTAACTTGATGCCCCCGAAAGGTTCGTCTTCACGTCGTCGAACGGCTTTTGCGATTTTATCTAATTTCTACGAGCAAAGAAGACATTATTAATTTTCATATACTATCCAAGTGGTTGTGTTTAAGTGATTAGGCTAATCGAATGTACCTCAAAGTATTCTCCATCGACCATTGAAATTTCGTCGATGATTAATATTTTACATTTGCGCCAAGTCTGTACAAATGGTGACTTTGAAGCCATTTGAATTCCTCTTTCTAATGTACATTCACCGGTACCGATACCAGCAAACGAATGCAACGTCACTCCGCCGATCAAACAAGCCGATGCACCTGTACTGGCTGTCACCATCGTCACATCTGGAGGTAAAGTGCTCACTATGTAACGCAACAAGAACGACTTGCCCGTGCCTGCACTACCTGTAAAATTGAATTTAAATATTAGATTTGATTTAGTTGGTGCATTTTAATAAACAATATATTATCATACAAGAAATTTAAAAAAAATAGTAGTATACACTTTTCCCCCCAAGGTTGTTGTCAATAAAAGGGTCTTGGCAAACTTAATTCATTAAAAATTCCTAACACCTACTTTTTTACATAAGTTTTTAATAAGGTACTTTTATTTCAAAAACGTTGTATTTAGACTCGCGGTTAATCTGGTACAAACAATAGATTACTAATTTATTAAGTTTCGTTATTAGTGATGATTCATTACTGTAATGATAAACATACACATTTATTATCACAATCTGTGGCGAAAAACTGTCTATACTAAATCCCATTTTGATTTTTTAATAAAAATTATTACTATATAACTAATAAGGAAATTAAGATGTGTTCCAAAGTTAAAACCGTTATACTGCGTTTAAACTTTGAAAATTGGCGCCATTGGTGGAATCAAAAACATAATTAATATAATATATTTGTTTTAATTGTTGCTATGTTCATACCATAATTCTGGTTGATAACGGGTGTGATAAATGATAACAACAGAAGAATATTCACCGTAAACCGGAAAAATTAAACAGTACTTGATATTTCTGTGTTGGTTTCTTTTGTAACACACTTGCAAGTCAAAGTTAGTAGTTTATTGCGATCTGAACAAAAGAAATGTCCAGCAACCGTTTCACACCCAAGGGTTTTCCCAGGGTACCGTTTCAAAATGGCATCGGACGTTACATGTGCCAACTGAAAAGAGTCACACTAAGGTTTTGCAAGAGCAACGGTTCCAGCCGCGGAATAAGAGATTTTATCGAAACAAATCTACTAGCTTTCGCCGAAGAACATCCGGAAACAGCAGTATACTTGAAACCGCGCCGCCACAAATCCCCATCGTTTGTCGCCGAGTATCTGAACGGCGAACGAGAGGTGGTCAGTTGTCACAATTTCACAGCCCCACAAATAACCAAGTGGCTGACGTTGTACTCCACCCGGTCAGGTATACCATTGCAAAAACACCTAAAAATGTGGCATACGGACTGCCCGTCTATTCAAGGAGTTTGGAGTCCGTTTACAAACAGAGATCCAGAATTCAATGTTATGAAATACCCTTCGGCCGAGCTCTCAAAACCCGTTTATGAAACAAAATCCGCAACAGAAGAGTTATTAGAAAAGATAAACGAATTCAAAATTACCAGTAATGACGAAGACAAAGATAACGAGAAAATCGCCGTTCAAGGATAGAATATTTATTGTAAAAAAAAAATATACTTATAAATATTTTTTATTTTGTTAGTATCGTAAAATAAACATTTATTGATTAATTAATCTTCGTTTTAATCTTTATCAAATAGTTTCTACAATAATTATGAAATACATAGTCTATCTAACTTGCTACTGTCCTAACTCCTATAGTGACACTAAATGTACATCATATTTCTTTTTTAATAAAACTTCATTATTAAAAACTTAATATGGATAATTATTTATTCACGCAATCAAGGGCTTAAAATTGGACAGTTTTTAGTACTCTTTAATTGTATTCATTTTGGAGTTGAGACAAATGTAAACTATGATGATGACAAAATACATTTTATTATATTTTTATCATTTATGTAGCTAAAAATGAGAAATTAAATGTAAAGGACTTATACAGGACTATGATACTTTGACTAGGTATAGATTTTAGCAGACGTAAAATTACAAAAGGAATATATTGTGAATAATCAATATATTTCTCCTATAAAAATAATTAAAAAATAACAGCAGACTGCTATTAAACTGAGTCTGCTGTTAGTGCTAAAGATAGCAACATAATTCCTTGTACAAGTGTTTCTATTGTGGATAAGATTTCTTATTAATTAAATATTAAATATTTTTATTTTCGATACAAAGTATCAACATTTTAGGATTTGGTTGCCTATAAACCATTTTATTAACAAAATTGTATTAAATATAATTTTTAATTTTGTGTATGTATTTTTCTTATTATTACAAAAAAACTTTTTTTATTTTATTCGTGTTTAAAGTCAAACCTGGGCATTTTTTTAAAGTTCATTAAAAAACAATTTTAAAAATGTAATTTTTATATGAAAGCGAAAATAAACTTATATCTTAAGTAATAAATATGTTCTTATGAATAATATTTAAAAGAAATTAATCTTGGTCACCTGTAAAAAATATGTTGTGTTTAGAGTTGACCGCATCGACTACTTCTCGTTGTTCACTTGACAGCTTGTCCATATAAGACATTAAATAGTTTTTTTTTACCGTTTCTTTTTTGAGATCATCATCTAGTTTTCTTTTTTTTGCATTTGGTCCTTCTAATTTTTCACCGACGCGGCCCACGTCTTTGGCATTAATCGGACTAATTTCTTCAGCAACACTACTTTTCACCGCAAACAGTCGTTCTCTAACTTTAACCTAAAATAAATAAACATATTTGGGACGGGGGGTATAACAATTGTAATTAATATTATTCTATTAACTTATTGTGTATTCGTAAATACCTGAGGTGAATCTTTGCGACTGGTCACTTTGACAAATAACATTTTTAAGAACTCCGTTAATTGTGCCACGGGTGCGTTCGATAACATCATCATCACCCTTTCAGTTTTGAAATTTATCGTGGTCTTACCATCGTTAAGAAAACGTTTGTGTACGGCTATGTCTTTAAGCGGGAATCGTTGAGCGGCATTTTTGTCTGCCGTCACTACCAAGTAAATATCGCGAAAATCGTTGCGGGTTAATGTCAGCTTAGCTGAAGACGACTTAAATCGCTTCAAAACTACTCCCTGGACGTTTAACCATTCTATTGAACATGCACATTGTAGCGACATCACTTGTTCGCTCGCCCCTTATTGAGTTGCGTAAATACGAGTTACAGCCAAGACATTTAGTATAAATGTAATTAAATTTAATGTAATAAATTACAAATATATATATATATGTATATTATATAATATAAGCGAATTAAAAAATCACACAAGAACAAAACATAAAAAAAAAAAAGACTAGAATGTAGAATTTGAATTTGAATTTTGCTCGAATTGCCGTTATCAAATTTAAAATAATGCCAATACGCATGCGTCCGGAATCGAACCCCTTGCCCCGTGATGAAATATTTAGGTATGTCAGAAAATGTCTGTTATTAGTTTCCACAACATGGACGCTGATGTTCTCCCATAAAGTTAACCCACGGTCGCCCTAAAACGTCAGCAGCGATTTTGAAAAACTGATACCACAAGTTGTTGACATACCCATCTTGTTTTATCATGTTACTTTTGCCGATTATGGCAGAATCCGGGTTCATAATAATATGGAGTCTCCCCGGCTCCCCTAACTTTTTTAAACTGTTTTTACTTTTTCACGTAAAAAGCGTCAACGAAATATTTCCATCATAAAATATATGAACAAATTTATAATTAGGTATTTGTTATGTTAAGAACAATTTTGGCACAATAGAAGCTATAACTTAAAACTGTGCGAGGCAATCAATTGAAAAATATAAAGAGGAAAACAAAAAAATGTATCACAGATCAAATAGCAATTACTTCATATTGTTGTTATTATTTCCATTTACCAATGGGGAGGAAAATGTGTTTTTGGAATTTTGGTGAAAAACAAAAATTGATTTACCACTATGAGACTTAATCGTAATCATTAAATAAATTCATAGGCCACACTAGAGAGTGGGACTTCTGGGTAAGTAAGTCAAGTAAGCAAGCAGTTACGCGCCTGTACCAAACGTGGGCATTAATCAAGTATTTATTTATTTAAATAAAAACTCAAATAAGTACTTTAATTTTAACAAAATAATATCCAAGTAATAATTTCAAATGTTTTCCTTTGGACGAATTTAAATATCAAATAAAAAATAATTTCAATAAATTTCAATTTCAGTTCTAAACAATTGTTTATTTAAATAATATTTTTTTTTAAAAATGACCACGTTTAAATAGTATACAATTTAGTTAAGAGCAATATAATTAATAATTAAACAGTAATTTACTAATATAAGTACTGAAACAGGAATTTATAATTCTTTTTATTATTAGCCTTTATTGAACAACATTATGGCTCAACAGTTACAATAAATTATTTGTATATTTATTGAAGACCAATTACACTACATTGTTAATTAGGTAATTATTTTATTTTTAAAGCCTTCGACATATAAGTATTGCACATTAAGTAATTTACATTTAAACTGTAGCCCATGTGGATATCATGGCTTTTATATAATTTCATCTAATTTCAACTTTTACAATGAAAGTACATTATATTTATACAAATAAGTAACATACAATTTAACAAATATATATATAATATAAATAAATATATTGCATGTTTTTTGAAAATAACTTTTAAACTAAAACAAAATTAATTAAATTCCTAAAAAATAAAATAATAATATTGTATATCATTGATAATACACAGCTATGTTTTACAGAATTTCTAAATATTTTTTTGTTAATTTTGATATTAATTTTAAACATATTTAAAAACAATTATAAGGATTAACAAATATAAATGATATACAATAAACTATTTGAAACACCCGTCAAAAATATATTTAAAATAATTATGTATAGAGTAATTTTTTATTTGTATACATTTAACAAATAAAAATTAAGACAAATATTAAACAATCCAATACTTTATAGGAAACTCATTACTATGGTTTACTACATAATATTATAAGCTATGAATAAGTTTTTTAATCATGTATAATAGTAAGAAAAAACTTGACGTAACTGTATAAAACCTACATGTAGTCAGTAACAATATAAACATTTTTTTGTTTATTATACCTATGGAAGAAATATTCAATGATTCTCAAGAGGGTTTTATTTTATTTTTTATGTACAGTATTAAAAGAAAAATAGAGTGTTAATAAAAAGAGAAAATTCAATACATAGTCTGATACATATTCATAGGAAAAACAAAAGCACACGTTTTTTCGTGTGCACTTAACATGGCTCTACACACAAATCCATTACCACAAGCACAAACATACGGTCTGGCGCCCGTATGCTTTCTATAATGTATGACATACGACGATCGTTGTGAAAAGGTTTTGCCGCACTGGTCGCATTGATAAGGTTTTTCTCCGGTATGCGTTCTCAGGTGCAATACCAGAGTACATTGTTTAGCAAAGCCTTTACCACAATAAGTGCAAACGTTAGGTTTTTCTCCGGTATGCAGCCTTTTATGAAGCTTAAGATGTTCCCTGCTGGACAATTCTTTACCGCATATATCGCAGAGACACGACATGGCTCGCTTGTGTGTACGGCGATGCAAAGCGAGTGAACTCCTGTCGTCAAATTTACGGCCACACTGATTGCACACGTAGGATATTGTGTCGCCGTGTATAAGTCTCATGTGTGTGGCTAAGTAACGTGACAATGAAAATGACTTCTTACACGCTTCGCACTTGAACGGCTTGTCGCCCGTATGTTTGTTCTTGTGTTCGTTGAGCAAACTTTCTGTAATGAAATTTTTATTGCATTCCGAACAAGTAAACTTTGATTGTTTGAGGTGGCGCTTTTGATGACGATACATTGACGAACGGTGTTGAGTGGTGTAACCGCAGGATTCACAAGATATAGAAGGAGGTTCGTTATTATGGTTTAAAACGTGCGTGTTAAACGCTAAAAGATTTTGGAATTGTCTATCACATATTTCGCAAACATGCTGAGGCTTACTTTGTTTGCTATCGACGTCTTGTTTTTCAACAGTTTCACTATTAACGACAGGTTGTAAAGGTTCTTCAACAACAGCACTTTTTTTAGTAGACTTGACGGATATACGTTTACATGGTCCAGATTTCCTTTTACTTGGTCTAAATATGAAAATATGCAAAATTTATTAAAACTAAAAATAATTATACTAACATCATCGTACAACATACTTGGTAACTTCTGGTGTTTTTATTTCTGTTTCACTATCGCTTGGCGTCTGTTTCTATAAGGCAAAAATAAAAACCATTAAATGCTATTTTTTACATTCGATTAGTTTGATATAAACTATGTTAAAGTAAACAGGTTAGCTGATAGAACGAGTGATTTAAAAGGAAACAGACAAAATCAATTGTTTTAATTTCGGGAAAAACGTTAACTAATCATCATTAAATATACAAATTATAATATAGCTAAGCTATTGTATGCATTATTTATGTAGTCACCATTTGATTCAAGAGGCCATGAAAATGATTTTCAGTATCTTGAATACACATAAAAAATTTGTATGTATCCATAAGTTTTATGTGGCAACTGTTGCATATCAATTTTGGTAATGAATCTTCTTCTGAAAACTTTACGCGAAACACATATAAATACAAAAATGTAAATAGATGTTGAGTTGGGTTCAACTTACTTTATTGGGCAAACAAAAATTTATTTTCTGAACCAAATCGTCGGAGTCGCCTACAATGGGTTTTTTCGTACCGTCTTCGTTGAGACAAAACCGACAAAATCCAGAAAGTTCCATAATCGTTTAGATAGTAAGGGGTGTCTGCAAAATCGTGTTTAACGTGAGAATATTTCGTTGTTTACGTTTGGCATGGGAAAAGTAGATACAGTCAAACAAGGTAAGTAAAATAACTCTAAATACTCAAAAACGTATATTACATACTGCATGCATATACATATAGCCTATAGGTGTAATAATGATATTATAATATTATATATGTGTAAATATACGTGAATTGGGTTTTTTTTTTTTTTACTCGTCAATATTATTACGAGAGTTACCGGTAACCAGGTATGCCAGATAAGAATCTCGGTTTCGACCACAGATTAGGCGTTAACCTCAAATATTTGTTGTGTCGAAAAAACGCCCTTTTTTTCTGTGTACTTGGCATTTTTTAAATTTTTCGAATTTTCCGCTCCGACCAACACAGTATAATTATTACTATCGTTACCTGTGGCGTGCGGGCTTATACGAAATACCATCGAAGAACTACTATAATAATTACCATGTTAACAACCGACTGTCTGGCGTGCCTTGTGTTTACTACTCACGGTGTGAGATAGGCTTCGGCCTTGTAACGAGACACCAATGTTTTGAAAGTAAATCTCCCAAATCTGTGTGGAAAATTTCAATAGGTTGAGGTTTTTTTTTTTTTTTTTAATTTTATGTTGTACAATTATGTTTGCAGAAACTATTTCTAATTAAAACGAGTACACTGTAATGCACGAAAACGTGCCAACCAAAGTGGCCGTTACAAAATCTGTAACGCCTGTTCATGGTCGGCCAGCTTTCAGTAAACACAGAAACAGCAACCACCAAAGGAACCTTAGCCTTGACTTTCGGTATGATAATTACATATAATGGTGTTACATGTGGTGTTTTTTTGAGAAATTTTCAGAATTAAATTTAGAAGGACTATTTACGGCACCTACCCTTAGATATTAGAACATTATTTATAAGTAAGGGCGAGAAAAAAAAATACAAAATATCTCTTCTATTATAATTAAATAATTCTTCATGTCATCAGAAATAAAAAAAATCCTCTAACAGTTTGAAACACTAATATTGCAATTTAAAATCGAACCCGGGCCAATCAATAACTGTCCTCCTGGCCAAATGAACAATTTTAATGAATTTTTCATTATTATTTTTAATGAGCATCTGTTTTCCATCTTTTAACTCCAGCTTTATTTAATATTTAATTTTTATATTATTATTTATGTGTATTTTTTTTTTTTATAAATTAGGTCGATGGGTATAGTATTACCACCTATAAATCATCCTTCACACCATCGTAACCGCAGTCTAGATTCGGTCCTGACGAAAATTCCAGAAGTCGACGTGACAACTAGTCCAGAATGCCCCGAACAAAAACGCACGCCAATATCGGACCCTAACATCCATTCGGATGATTCGGGTATTGGAAGGTAACGATTACAGCAATGTAAAATCCATAGCAATTAATAATAATTTGTTATATAGTTATAAATTATTATAGCTCCGAAATGGCCAGCAGCTGCAGTCACGAAAGCCTCAGCTGTTCGGAACCAAGTCCGACCAAACACAATGGTTGCGACTCACAAATTTTCGATAAAGTTTCTAAAAGCTTTTTACTGAGACTCATTGAATCCAAATTATTTGACATGCCAATGGCTATAACGTACCTTTTCAATTCAAAAGAGCCCGGTGTTCAACGATATATAGGTAATAATGTTTGTATTGTTTATAATCTTATAAAATTCATATTAATGTCATACTATCTCTATTACAACATAATAAATAATTGTGTTTTAGGTGATAAGCTTTTTAGTTTCGAAGATAGTTCTGTAGATTTTTTCTTGCCTCAATTAATTAGCATGTATATACAAATGGACGATATAGCGGAGGCCATAGATTCATATTTGGTTCACAGGTATTTATTATTTATAACTATTGATTAGGTACTTATGGCTTTTGCTCAATATATTACCTTATTCTGAATTGAATAACATTTGCAGGTGTTGTAAGTCGTGTGATTTTTCAATAAAATGTGCATGGTTATTAAATGCGTTTAACGACCTAAATATAAAAACTAAATCTCGAAGCGGTCAACTTATCAATACAATACTGAATGAACATTACAAGCAAAGACCCAATGAGAAAACTAGTTTAGATTCTTTCAATCTGTTAACCAAGAAAACACATTGTCGATCTAGATCCGACAGTTCTATGGTCAACCTCAATGGAATTCAAATTGGTAATATGATAGTAATAATTATGTATTATATATAACAGTTTTTGTCTTTGTACTGTAACTTATTCATTTCTTACCTAAAATGTATTTTATCATTGAAGCTATAAATTAGCACCAACATCAAATGATACCTTAATTAACAACCTATTTTTTTTTAGTTTGGGAGCGAAGTTTTCTGGGAGATTTGAGTTCTGGTATGGCTTTTGACAATGGCTGCACTTGTACAGAACAAACGACGGAATGCCGATGTGGCGTAAGTGAAAACGCAAACTTGTGGTTGCTTTGATTAATTGAAACGATTAAACAATATAATTTTAGGCTCCTAGAATGAGTTCTGAAATAGAATTTGTCAAATGTCTCGTTTCTCTCGGTCGAGATTTGGCCAAACAACCGTCCAGAGAAGCTAAAACTACATATCTTTATAGCCAATTGAGCCTTATTAATAAAAATTTACCAGCCAAAGTTTGGATACCATTATACAATTGTAATCATCACGTTTTAGCGATTCCACCTCGAGCAGCAGCTGTGTTGAATTCTAAGGATAAGGTATGATTGATATACAATTCATTTTTTTATTTAAATTTATTAACCTATTCTAATCCAATTATAGGCTCCATTTATTATATACGTTGAAGTGGCGGAAGTGGAAGATGCTGAACGTTCTCCATTAACTACTCGAGTGTCTAATCTTCGGCAAACTCGTAGCGAAGAAAATCTCATTCGATGTGAGCCTGATGATCCAAAACCGGAAGTCATCAATCAAAGTACATTTATTGTAGCTGGTGATATCAGACGTCGTCTCACAGAATCAGCAGACATTAAAGGTTCATCACCTACCGACCCAGAAGACCCGTCAGCAGCCGCGTTAAAGGAGCTCTGGTCAGAAAAGGAAAAGAGAGTTAAAGAAAACTCGCCCTATGGTTATCTTGCCAATTGGAAACTGTTGCCCGTTATAGTAAAAACTGGCGATGATTTACGACAAGAGCTTCTTGCTTCACAACTGTTGCTTACCTTGCACAGCATTTGGATAGCAGAACAAGTGCCATTAAAAGTTTTCCCTTACAGAATATTGTGTTTGTCAAATGACGCTGGGTTTATTGAACCTGTACTGAATACCATATCATTGCATCAAATCAAGAAACTTAATAAGACGTCATTGCCGATGTATTTTGAAGAAGAATTCAAAGCTGATGGAAAGATATTGGAGGCGCGTCAAAACTTTATACATAGCTGTGCTGCATATTGTCTTGTGTGCTATTTAATACAAGTCAAAGATAGGCACAATGGTAATATTTTGCTCGACAACCAGGGAAATGTTATTCATATTGATTTTGGATTCATACTGTCAGCGTCTCCGAAAAATCTTGGTTTTGAAAGTTCTCCTTTTAAATTGACATCAGAAATGGTCGATGTAATGGGCGGTCCAGATTCGGAAGGTTTCACATACTTCAAGCAGCTCATACTTCGTGGTCTGATTGCATCTCGTAAACACATGGACCGTATAGTGTCTATTGTCCAGATCATGCAGTCTGCAAGTGAGTTTTTAAATATAAGCAATTTCTATATCGACTCTGATGGGGAGCTGAGAAAATATTATTTTTCTATCTACTGTTTTGTCAACTAGTGATAATTTTTTAACTATAACTCTAACTTTCTAACCAGTTAGTGCTGAATGTTACGAAATGAGTTTATCTCATCCCACATAAAAATTGAGTAAAATACCCTAACAATGTGTACATTTTTCATTTTAAAATAACGACACTGAGCACGCTATAACTTACTAAATAGTCTACGAAGTACTGTTATTTTCAAACCCGTGGGAGATATAGTATTTAGGTATAGTACCACATGCATACATTGGAAATATGTACATAAAAAATATATACATTTTTTGGCTTTTCTCTCCCATAAAAGGTACACTGTTTTTCTTTTGACATTTATTGTCTGAAAAATTATTTATATTTAATACATTTTACCAACAGCAGTTTTCATTTGAAAGCCTCTTTATTACTTAATAATTTTGACTTGCAAACTTCAGGGTTCCACTATACTCTGTGCTTATTGTTCGGCGTTCCCCATTCTAGTGTACTAGCTTTTATTATTATTATTTGTGTTTTTTTTTAACAGATTCTCAACTTCCGTGTTTTAAAGCTGGAGCAACTGCCGTTATAGGGTCTTTAAAATGCAGATTTCATTTAAATCTGACGGAGACTCAACTAACAATGCTCGTTGATAACATGGTTGAATCATCGCTGCATTCCATCACCACCAGACTGTACGACGGGTTTCAATACTACACTAACGGTATATTGTGATTGGTGTTTATTTTAGAAAAAAAAATGTATAATAATATCATACGAAAAAGTAAAAAAAATGAATTAATTTTATTTATAAACCAATACACTTACAAAACTGAATCCAAGCCGATATGTTATCGGTTTTAAATACAAATGTTTTTTGCTCATTAAAACTTGTCAATAGAATACTGTCAAATGTTACCTAATTAATTTGTAGTAAGAAAAATATTTAACAATCCTTAAAAATATATATATATATATATGTATATATGTATATGATAAGAAAATCAATTTTATCAAGTTAAATCACTTAAATTGTTTATATCATTATTGAATTTTAATAACACTGTAATTACTTTGTACATTTATTATTATTTTATTAAGATCCGTTTTTATATTAAAATAAATATATATGAATTAAAACTTACTTTTAATTTTTTCAATTTTGATTGTACGAGTATTTTACTTAGGGCCGTATTTATAGTCAGTTCTTAAGAATAAGTATTGCTTAAATACGGTAGCTTAAGCAATGCTTATTCTTAAGAACTAACTATAAATACAGCCCCTAGAGCGTATAGATAAACTTTAAGTCTTTAGTATTTTGTTTTTTCTAGATACACGTGTGTAAAAAACACGATGTAAACAAAAAAACTGTCTCAAAAAAAAAAAAAAAAAATCCACTGGTGTACAATAATATAAAAGTTAAATATTCGATGAAATGCAAAAGTTAAATACAAAATGTGTTATACTTGATCGTTTTGCAAAGGGTTTTTTTTTAATACAAATTTAAAATAACAAAAATTCCAGTGTAACGCAATATTGTACTGTCGGTATAAGAACAATACAAATTAAGATAATATGAAGAAAAACAACCACAGTTTGATGTACTTAAATATAATAGAGACAAGTTCATTATACTGAAAATTTTTGCATCAAATGTTCAACTCCGTTGAAAGACTATAAAATGGAGGGAAATTTTTACTTATAATTACAATACATGGCATAATTTGTTTGGTCAGAAATGTTGAAAGTTGGTATAAAAATACATCGATTATACAATCATTAGAATGGACTTTGTAAAAAAAAAAAAAAAACGTTATAATTTAATTGCAAATTAAAATATAGAATTAGTAAAATAAAGTATACAAATATATTGTAATGTATTTTTAACCCAAAAAAATGTGTCGGTAATACAAATTGTTTGATTACATACTTTGTTAAAAGGCACTAAACTAATAGATTTCTATTAAATTAAATTAAAATAAATGTTTACCTCATTGTCCAGCACTACGCAGCGAGACAAATTAATAAACATGTACATACACGAAAATATTTCTAGTTTATTTTATTTAACAGTGTAAATACTGATAATTTATGAACATTAAGTTAGTAGACATGAACACAACAAAACTGACTACGTCAAAATATCATTATCATTTCTACCGGTCCATAACATTTCAAACTTAACCATGACAATTAAAAAAAAAATGATAAAATATTACTTCTAAACACTAAGAGAAGAGATTTTTCTTGGTAAACAAGACAACTGCAAGACATATATATATATAAGTATATATCATTTATAAGTCTATACAAAATAAACTAAAATACTAACAATACAAAACATTTAAAGGTAACTATCTTAAGTACGAATTGTATTGTTCGTAAAACGAACACTAGTCAAAAGTGTTGCAAACTACCGGCTGGAGTGGCATAATTAGAGTCTTCACTCTCAGAATGAAAACGACGATGCACTGAATTAATACCGTTGTTAATTGTATACCCTAAAATAATAAAAAAAAAAGATAATGCATTTAATTTACACATACATATTATTTTGATCTTCAATGTGGACGTTCAAGATGAGACGTTGTTGTACATTGGAAGTAATTAGACTATTTTTTAAATAGTTATAGTGTATAATATAAACATAACTGTTTGAAAAATAGTCTAATTACTCCAAACTTGTGTGGGATGTTGTTTACATATAGTATTACCGATACACAATGAATAACCAAGAAAATATCACTTAACCCTTTATAACACTTTTCTCCAGATCAATTTATTACATAACTGACCATTCAATTCAGTAAATTATATTCTCAACTTAAAAAGCTAATAAAATACATACAATATATTTTTTCTAAAAGTGACACTTTAGACACTGCATTACTAACTTATTTTTATTGACATAATAATTTGTATTTATATTTAATAGTTATTACCATCAACAGTTTGGCGTCGAAGCATTTACTTGAAAATGATTTTATCAATTCAATAATTATAATAATTCTTAAGACTTGTAACCACTCCGTCCTCACTGTATTGGTTTTTTTTTTTTAAATAATATTATGTTGACAAAGTATTACCATTTGTGTGAGTGACCGATCTGACCGTCGGGGAAAGTTGTTCGGGCGATGTATATGAAAACGGAGACGACGAAGCACTAATGCGATCATTAGTCAGTGGCGGCCAATCCGGTGATTTCTGTAGTTCATATTCTAGACCGGCATAAGTTTTTACCCAACTTTTATTTTTATGGGAACTAAAAAAAAAAAAAATGTTTTAAATTCAAATTGGATAAAACATTTGTTTATGTAATAAAAAAAAATATATTTAGTCTTACCGCAAACTTAAAAATCTGACGAGCAAACGGTCGCATAATACTTTTTCGTGAATCACCGACAACAAGAAATTCAATAAACCCAACATCAACAAAACGTAACAAAATCCATTGTCTGGTGGAATTTTCAATTCAAATGCCGATCTTATCATCTCAGCGGGCGATATACACAAATAAGTAGTAAATACCAACATGACCACTGATATAATTGTCAAACACCAATTTGCTTCAAGACCCTGTCTGTACGGCGGCCCCTTATTAAATACCAACGCAATAATTATGTATTGTAAGGCGGACAAACAAAAAATTGCGTAATTCTCATAGCTTTCCAGTGAAGACGATTCTTCTTTTGATTTGAATGGAACAAACCAATCATTATACTGGATGACGGTAAAACTTATCAATTGAAACACTGTTGAAATAACTAGTTGTCCGATCAGCGAAGTTAATGGCAAGGCAGATACTAGTGATGTCTCGGGCCTCTGTTTGACCAAAGGTCCTTCATATGCAGGAGTTCGACTTATAGCAAATGCAAATAACGATATAGTGATCAAATCAATATATAAGTACTGGTAGTCCGTTAGATTGTTGTCGATCGAATAGAGGACAATCACAGACACAAATTGTACCAATGAATAGCCGGCCATGAATTTAAATATACCCAAAGACGTAACCAGGGCAGCACGGCCTTCACGAATCACTCGTACAACGCACTCGACTGACGCCTTGCGCGAGGTAAATGGACTAGCAACTGACGATTCAGCTTCACTCAATGATATGCCGGTGTGTGCAGCTTTCAATGCGCCACAATCGTTGGCGCCGTCCCCACACATGGCTGTAAAATCAAGTTAAATCGTTAATGAAAATTCTTGCATATAAAGTTTTTGTTGGTTTATTAAACAGAGTTTAACCAAACAATATAGAAAGTGTAATAATACAAAAACACATTTAACCTATACGTCTAAATAATAATTAACAATGTTTTAATGTAAATATAAATTGTATTAAATAGTTTATTACAATTTTTATAGTTTTATAGAAAAACTACATTTACTTACCGACATAATAACCAATTCCTTGCAACTCTTGAACAAGTTGCTGTTTCTGGTCTGGACTCATTCTAGAGAATACCGAAGCTCTAGTTATAATTTTCGGCAAAAGTTCAGGGCAATATTGCTTAAGCAGTGACCAAGTTTTACCAGTCAATGCAAACGTGTATTTTTGAGAGCTTCTAAAGAAGAAAATAAAAAAGTTAATGTTAAGCGTATGCATATTTCAATAAACGAAACATACTTTCCCATCGGTGTATTAACCGCAGTACTTCCTTGGCTTAATAAACCAGCTTCCAACATGTCTACATTGAAATTCATACTGGTATTGGAATTAGGGGATGGAATACTGCTTAATTTCTGAAAATAGTTCGGAGAATAAAATTAGTTTCAACATTTCAAGGATATATTTTGCGAGTTGTAAGTAAATATTTACTTACCGCAATAGTACTTGGATTTATCGCCGGGTTTACTGTCATGTCCGCTGCAGTAAAGTATAAATAAGGAGGCGTGTTAACTCCGTGCACAGTAATTACGTCTTCTGTAGGCAACACAATACCACAATCTCTTGCGACACTGAGTGCTGTCAACATGTTGTCTCCGGTGACCATTATCATTCTAATATCGGCTGACCGCAATGTTGACAGTACTCTGGCGCTTTCTGGTTTCAATCTATTTTCTAATATAATTAATCCTAAAAATGTTAAATCACATTCTGCTTGTTCACGCGTTAGTCTCTGAGTCTTCACATAGCTTAAGTTATTCTTTAAAGCCCGATAACCGGCAGCGATCACACGATAGCCTTCTTTAGTGAAGCGCTGTAATACTTGATCAAAGTCTGATGGTATTGAAATGGCATTACAAAGAGATAATATTTTTTCAGGTGCTCCTTTACTGTACACATGGGTGGAATTTGACGATAGATGCTTTGCTATTACACTCATGCATTGCAAACTTGAACTGAATGGAAACTGACGAATAATACCGATTTCTTGACCAATCTAAAACAACAACAGGCGTTTATTCGAATGTGATTTTATAATTTTCAGTTAAAATAGTTCTTAAAAGACTTGTCACTTTCCCAACCCCAAATGCTCCATATCAACTAGGCTGGATTTTGTTTACTATAGTACACCATAAATATATTTTGTATTAAATTACTTGTTCAATAGTAGTAAATGTGTTTTTATTCGGTGGCCGCACGACTACAGGCATGACTAAATCAAATTGATTATCTTCGCTAGTTTCGGGCTCTTCTAGTAGCCATCCAGTGGACTCGAACATCTTGAGATCAAGAGGATCACCGGACAATTTCCCTTCGATGGAAGTAATTGAATGGCACGTCACCATGGCTGACATGAGTAAATGATCGGATGGCATATTGGTTACGTTTCTAAAGTTTGGCAAAAATTTTGCTTCGACAGTGGGCACTACACCCCACATGTCAAGCCCGTCTTCGGTCAGAGTACCAGTCTGTAATATGTTGTTTTGTAAGTAAAATAAATTGGGTAAAAATAGCATAATAATTTAAACTGACCTTATCGAAACAAACACAATTTATTGACCCTGCTACATTTATCGACCTTGGACTAATGCAATAAATATGATGTTTTTTCAGTCTCATCTGAGCATACATCTGTCCAACGGTCATGGCGGCTGGTAAAGCTGGAGGTACCACAACAGTGATCAGGTCAAACGAATTCAAGAAAATATCTCTTATTGGAACGCCTCGAGATATTTTTGTGAATATAGTGTACACAAACCCGATAGCAGCAATTCCCGACAATACTTGGACGAATTTGTAGCTGTCCCTTTCAAATTCAAAATCTACCGGAGATGGGTGCAGAATTGAACGGACCAAATCACCTTTGCTCGTATGAAATCCTGTACGTACGACTACTGCAAATACACGTCCTTCACCGTAAAAACGAGTTTGTATTACAGACGTTCCACAATATAATGTATGCCGTGCATGCTCTTTTATATCATATTTTAGATCAGGATTTCCAGGGATTGGTGTTTTCGTTACAGGAACACTTTCACCTTAAATCAAATTGTATTTTTTTTTATTATTTTACGGGAACGATATAACATTTTTGTTTTGAATCTGTTTCGCAAAACCGACACTGGCCACAGATATTATTTGTCATGTTTAGTTGATTTTTAAAATCGCCTCCAGTTGTAGAAATGAAAACAAACTGTTTTGTGTCACCTTAAGCATGAATAATATGTTTTAATATTTAATAATGTCCTAATTTGTATTAAATTCAAAACTAATATCTGAACTTGGATAGCATTTTTTGGATTTTTTTTTAATGATTACAGTTGTATAAAAAACTTAAAATAAAACACAGAATTTAAAAAAAAAGTTATTTCTGGTAAAATTGTTTAATTAATTTTCCTACTCCTATATGTAATTTACAATGCCCTTGACATGGCTTATAGCAAGCTCCCATTATGTGTAAGCAACGTGTAAAAGGCCACTAGGTATTTATTGCTGTACCTAAACACAATTTAAAAAAAAAAGTGCACTTGTTCAATTATAATCACACCTGTGCACTATGCCGACAGTATTATTGATCTTAAAGCTTAGCGCATTTGTTACATTTTGATTGACAATTATTTTTCGGGAATTTTTTTTATTCCAAACATTATTTTTAATTTAAATTTCTATAAAACATGAAAACCGAGTAACAAAACTAACCTGTAAGCATGCTCTCGTTTACGATACAATGACCAGTGAGCAAAATCGCATCACAGTGCATAACACAGCCATGGCTAGGTATGACCAGAACATCTCCTGGTACCAATAATTCTGTAGGAACAGTTATCACATTATTGTCACGTATTACATTAGCGACATCACTCGAGTGCACAGTACTCCTTAGATTTCGTTGATTCCTTCTTGTTTGAATAACAGCAGTAATTATGCTGACTACCGACATAAAAAATATAGCTGTCGCATAAGTGAGGTAATTATCAAGATACCAAACCACAAATGAAAACAATTCAAAAACGTAAAACGGATTTAGAACTTCGGTGAACACCAAAGACCAAACACTTTGCAATGGTACGTCTATGACATTGGAACCATAAACGGCTCGACGAAGATATTGCTCTGTAGCCGACAATCCTTTTTGTTCGTGAAATACATGAGTGTCTATATTGTGATCGATTCCGGTCAGCATGTAGAACTGTCTTTCTTCCACATCCCAGATGAATCGATACTTCTTGAAATCAAACCGTCTTATCTCATCTAGATCTAAAACAAAATACATATTTTTTATTATCGTCAATCGTAAATAGACTCTTCTACTCATTTTAGAAAAAGATAGGTTTAACGAACCTTTAAACGTTCCACTAGGAGTACGCACTGACAGTTTTGCTGATTCGCCGAGTGACTTGAGTTCTAAATACGCTTGTCTGTCCCATCCGTTGACGTGGCACGCTTCACTGTTTGAACACAATATGGACACACACATTGGTAACAGTATAATCGTCTTGTACTAACTGGATAGGTAACAAACAACAAGCGAACTATTATTTTATCAAGCGATAAGGAGAGCCCGTTAGGTCCTGGGATATTCCTCTCCTTGGTCGCATTGTGATAAAATTAGAAAATAACATACCTTGGTATTAAGGAAGACGAGGTTACAATTTCAATTTCTGCAACGTGTTCAGCTTTATGGTTCTTTTTAAACGTTTCCTGCAATAAAGATTTAAAACAATTTTAGTTTCGATGCTTATTTATGACTTTTTAACTTATTTAGAATATTCTAATTTTCTCAATCAATCAGTCAAAAAATGTTCAATGGGTTATTCTCAACTTTAAAAGGTACTATAATATGTTAAAAATAATTGAAATTTTCTAGTGACATTTTTTTACTAGAAAAACTTACTTAAAAAACAACTGAATTATATTTAATAGTTTTTAATTCTATCAAGAGTATTTAATGACCAACCCAATCCTATAGTGCTGGCTTTTATTTATCATTACAGTTTTATAACAACTTGATTAAAACATACTTATCTTTATGAAATGAGTAATAAAAGTTAAACTTATCCATAATTTTAGGTACAATAAATTAAGAAAAACTAATAGTGGATCTATAAGAAAAGGTCAACAAAATTTTTAATTTGTACAACAATAGTTGTAAACATACTAGATACAAAAAGAACAATACATACCACGATTAAAATCTTTTGGGCTTTTTCTAATGAACATTTCACATGAGTAGTAAACAGCATTAGAGTCGGCCACCAGTGAAAAATTAGGCGAAGAGTACCACATGTCATCACTGTCATCACCCATGACATGACAGTATATCCCACATGTCGCCGGTAACCATGTAACTCCTGAAAATTTAACAAGGTACTTTGGTCTAACACAAATTACTATATTTGCAAGCAGTCGTTAATAAATTGCCTCAAACTACTGGGGATTAAGTAAATCTGGCATTTACTATGCGTGCCAACTGAAGTGTTTTATTGGAATTCAAAAAAACCAGATAAGAGGCTAAATAGCCAAAGTCATTAACACAAAAATATCTATAATAGCAATAAATAATACAAAATAAAAGATAACCCTATTCAAAGATCTTTATAATATAGTAATTTTAATAATATCTTTTTGATTAAAATAGTAAAAGATATTAATTAAATTGCTACCTAATAAAATTGTTAGTTACAAAAAAAAAAAGATCTACATGGATATGTCGAATAAACAAAATAGACACTTCAATAAATGTCTTTTATAGTAAAAAAATGCCAAGTTCTCAAAATTATTTGTCTGAAAAAGAACAAAAAAGAATGTGTGATGATCTCATTTAATATAGATAACATTCCCAACATTTTTTTTTTGAAGAACTTATCTTGAAGTTATCTCCGAGACTAATTGTATTTTTGACACACATAGCATTAAAAAAAAACATTTACATGCTACTATTAGAAATAACAGGAAAGTAATTTAAATACTTTAATCAAGAAACATTTTTTTTTAAGAGTGAACATATTAAACATTTGATATTAAAAAAAATAATAATAATAAAATGTGTGCTATAATGATGTATTAAATTGTATTCAATTAGTATACTAATTTAAAAAGTAATTCAATTGTCGAGTTAAAATACAACAAGGATTTATTAATTTACATCTCATTATACGTACATCCTTATGAATTAAAATGACAATTGGTAAAGACCTTCACGATTCATTTGAAAATCTTAATCTATTAGAAAAAAACCTTGAAGCTTTGAGTTACTAATTTATAGAAATTGAACGCATCCTGTGACATACTTTGAATTACATATTTGTCGTCGGTTAGGATTTAAACCACTACGTATTATATTTGTCAGCTGCAAAAAATTCTTAGAGATTTAAATAAAATTCCATAAATGTAATGTAAAACTAGTAATTTACAATGTAATAAATACTATTCAATTTACAGCGAGTTTTTAATTATTTTTGACTGTTGTAGTTGTTTTAATTGTCTGTTTGTCTCCCTATCATAATTAATATACAAAAGAATACTTACCAATTGTTCTTCGGTGTCAATAATATCAACATAATCAATAAAGGGTTCATTGTCTTTGTAATTGTTAGACTCTTCTTTTATTGGCCCTGAAAATTAATTAAAATTAACATTGAAAAAAATAACTTAATAAAGTTTATAATGAATAATAATAATAATAATAATTCATAAACAGTTATGTTGTCGTACCATTAATCACAGACATAATAATATAATGTATTGCGCAAATGACTGTTAAAGTGCTAATAAACATTTTTTATTATTATTATAAGATTTTGCATGTACTGCAAGTTGTTATCTATTAGTCCCACCTGAACTTGAACAAATCATTAGCTCTTATGAAACTTAATACCAATAGGAATATTATTGTAACAATAAACTAAAGCAAATTATATTTTCTACATTTCAAAGCATTTACAACGCAATACACAATATAAACTTTAAAAAACCGACATAATACCAATGTTACATTATTGCTTATATGACAACGAAACAGATACACTACAGGCAGTCTTTATGTATGACTAATTACCAGTGCTTGTAACTAGTAGTGTGTGCATGTTTACTTTGAGTCATCCGAGAAATATTTGAGCACAATACAAATTCGTTTCCCGCCAATGCAAATACCAACTTGTATTTACAATATTTTGAATTCCAACACCAATTACTATTTTAGTATTTTTTAATGTATAATAATACAACAATTTGTAATATATATATATATATATATATATTAGTTATCAAAAAAATATGATATATGTTATATATATGCACACTGAAATAGTTCAAAAATTATAGTTAAGCATAATAATAATAATAAAAAAAAAAAACTAATTAAAGTTGTAGCGTTTTTTCAATGCATGATTCATATTTTTATAAGCCTAACAAGTAGGTCTTAATAAAAATAATAGAAAAGATGCAATCGTTTCAAGTTAACTACTAGTATTAACAACTGCTACTTACTTAATGACAAAAAAAACAATTGGGTTAAGCTACAATTATAACTTTTTTTTTTACTCTCCATAAGTATTGAATAATTAATGAACTAAAATGTATGTCTTAAAGAGTTAAATTTTAAACATTTTTTACGTTGTTTCTTAATCTGGTTTTACATTGTACGTTAAAAAAAAACACAGTGAAAAATATAGTTTTATTAGTTTAAAACGTAACACTTTTTTGAATATTCTAGTATACTGATGTCTTAGTCAAGCAAAATAGTGTATAGATTGTAATTATTATTCATTACAGACTATTGTAGAACATTAATATGTTGAAATTATATACATTACAAAACAATATTTAACAATTGTGTGCCATACATCCTTTCCCCTATCCCACTTACTATGTTATAGGTGTACAATAGTTAATAGCTTACAGACTGGTTATGAAAGTGGTATATTTTTTAATTAGCTAATCATACCTATTTTATCAGTGAATTTAATTAATTCTTACAAGACTTAAAAAATTATTAATGTCAATATCCAAGTAAAATATTTACCTTGATGTTTAACAATATGTTGTTAATAAACTAAACATTTATTGTTCTTTATTTTTTCTTTGAATTAGTACTTAGTTTTAATTAAAATTATTTATAGAATTAAAACTAACAATTAATATAAAACAGGATAAATATAACTAGGTACGAATAATCATCTGTTAAAGTTAATATTAAAAAATATAATTGTAGTCAGTATGTAGTAAATGTTGCAAATAAGTCTATTAACTAATATGTCCCTTACTATAAGTACTCGTAATGTGTATTTAAGCTGATATTAACCGAAAATGTAGAGATTGGTACTTTAGCACAATTATTGTTTAAATTTTTATAACAGAAATTGGAACAATAACATGAAAGGGCTTATTTAAAGGAATCAATTATTATATTAACTGTACAATTGCATGGACTTACTCCTTAGGGGTGTATGGACTGGATCATCCTGATTTATCTTTTTGTGGCTGGTTCGACTTGAACGTAGAAATCGACCAAATCTACCAGCGAGATCAGCCATTATCACCTGGGTCGTTTGCGCCACTTGAGAGTCGTAGTCGAGGGGGGGCGTCATTCGCCAGGATCGCATTTGCTGCGCCAAGACCTTACTGTAGCCCCACCACAGTTACAACACCTAGCGTCTTCAGTGGGTTCTCGAATCCAATCGTCGATTTGAATACTTAGCATGATGAGAACTGAACCGTTAATGTAAACGTCACAGGACTTTGAATGTCCCGTAACACATTCGACTAGACTATGACCAGTGGTCACCCGACTGCGGAGGGTAAAAATTGAATATTAATGGTTTTTTTTTTAAAGAGGGGGGGGGGGTATTTTTATTTCAAAATTTCATTATAAATAGGTAGACTCTGTGTTTACGTACTTAAATGATGCGATGGAGAACAGATGTTCCACGGGACGTTTTTTTGATGCTGACTGAAAATGTCAATTCCGTACCGTAATGGATAATGCCTATAATGTGGAGAGACCGAAAAAACAACGTGTGTCGCGCACAACGACCTGACTAGAAAATGACAGACGACGGTGTGTATGGTATGCAGTGTGAACTATGATATTATTATGGGCAATAGCCAGTGCACGACAAAATTATATTATGACAAAGTAATAACCCTTCTGCCTTTAGGAAAAAAAATTCACTATAGGTGGGGCGCCGGACAACCAACAGAGTACTGACTGGGTGAAAAAATCAAAAAGCAATGAGCATGGTTCCAAAGAACGGCAAAGTTTGAAATTCAACCGTTAGATAACGCTACGAGCACTAAGTACCGATTTTTCCGGGTGTAAATTTAAATTTTGCCAAATATTAAAATTCTTATTACTGTTATTCACTCGACCCGCGCCAACGATAATAATATACTAATATATTTTTACAATATTCCGTTAACGGAAAAAAGGACCATGTGACCGTCAATTGTCGTTATACCGATTGCCGTCATTATACAACAATAATGATGTATGTAATTATAATAATATTTTATAATTACAATTTCTGTACTTATCAGCTATCGCATTTATGTCAGATGTCAACGATTGGGTTTACAGATTACGAAATATACAGATAATATGATGTTATACAAGAAACCAGATAAAAGTTTTAAATTGTAATAAATTTAGGTTTGCCAGAAAAATAAATGCCGTCGTCTAATGGCCGTTTGGTGTATTTTTTATTGAACTCTATTATTTTTGTACATTTCAAAATTATACAATTAATTTGATAATCCGACAATTACTATGCGTATCTATAGATCAAGCACTAAGTTATACAAGATATACATATATTGTAATATATTAGGTAATGTATATTATGTTCATTGTAAATTTGATAAAATTACAACGAATTATTATAGATTGAAAAAACCGTGGTGACGCGATAAATGATAACGGTTTCCGATAAGACATTTTTGCAAAAATCCATTTGAACACAGCTAACAAGTCGAGTTCAAACATTTTTTAGATTAAAATTAAAAACGATAATAAGAATATTTAATAATATTCATGCCGATGTTTTATTCACACTGACAAGATTTCTTTCTTACTTACATAATTATTTTATAAAAAAAAAAAACCATTAGGTGAGTACATTTTTATTTTAATTCTCAACAGACAAACGACAAAAGCCAGGTCAATACCTCGTATAGAAATTTTGAAACATGAATGAACATATTATGGGATATTACAAGTCTATCTATAATCTAGTATCTACCGTGACTAAATAGTTATTTATTTAGTCATGCTATCTTTTATGATACGTATTATTAGTAAATCAAGTTTTTGGCGGGAAATACTTTGAATACACAAACATTCTATAACGTCACCAAAGAGGTCTTAAACAGAACTAGCTATTGTAAACATTGATGATAAATACTAGTATTTCTAATCAATAATAGTAAAAACATCATAAAAAATTAAAAGTACGCCCGACGCCGGGTTATTCGGTATTGTCGTTAGTCGTCACTAATTAGTGATTTGTAATTTGTATGTGACATGTATGTGGTTTTTAAATCGAGAAGACTTCTCGTTTTCATAGTTTTAAGTAATTAGTCTAAATTACTTTAACCAAGAGGTTTTATATTTAAGGAAAAGCTCCAGAAGTCACTGGGTTAGTTTAGCTTGTTAATTTATATAAATAATAAAAAAATATATTTAGATTACCGAATAAAAGAATACCAACCATTTTTGTTTGTCAATTATTGTATAGATACACAAATAAGTATGGCGTCGAGTAAACAAAGATTATCCATCGCGAAACAAAAACAAGTTAACTGTATCAATAGACGATGCAAATCTGGAGAAAATCTCACTAGAGCGTTTGATATGGTGTGCAGCTATTATCACGTAGATTACAAATCCTACAAAGAAGTAAGAACGCAGTTTAACAAATATAAGATTTGTTTGTTTTTTGTTAATTAGAAACGCATCGACAGCTAGGCTTTTAATGTGACTTTATGAATTATTTTTTAACAATTTAACTATTAAGTTTTGTTGTGTTTTAGGTATGTGGGGCATGTTTGGCTAAATGTTTGAAACATTTTAAAAGTCTGGAGACAAAAATGAAATCGGGCGAGTGTATTATGGACGGACAGTTTCCAAATTATGATGCGTATTGTGTCATTGAATCCGACGACGAAGAAGATACAAATAGTTCTGACCAACCTCAAGATATAATTGCCGGAATAGATACTGCTGTGGACATGTTTTTTGAAGATCATAACGAACTTATAGATGATCAAATAACCAAGTGCAATGATTACCTCGATAAGTCTTTACGCAACTGTACTCTTGAAGCAAATTTTATAGATAATTTAGGTACAGAATTACAAAATGAAATTACCTCTCTGAGAAATGAACTGTATAAACCTTATAAGCCCGTAATTAAACATGTTGACCCTATTGATATTTTTGAGGACAGCAAGAAATCGGATAAAGATATTATTGCTGTAAATAGAACTATTTGTAGTGTGCCGGCTGATTTACCTAAAGAAGGACCCTTAGAATATCCTCAGTTTAAGCAAGGGGACTTGTTGTATGGAATGAAATTTACATTAAAACAACCATGGTTTAAATGTAAAATTAAATCTGTTATGAATGACGGAAACGTGCACCTGTTATTTGATTCTGAAGAAAAAGTATTACAAGCCAAAGAGGTTGCTTCATTTGAAGAGTCCCCAGTACGTTTTCCAGTTGGTTGCAGAATTATTTCCAAGTTCACAGAAATAGATTCTGATGTAGATTATTATTACGCCGGAATAATTGCTGAACCTCCGAATTTAATTAACCGGTTTCGGTAATAATTTAATTATATATGCATATGTATTATATATTAATTAATTAATATTGAAAATTTGAAATTATTAATGTTTATGGTATTTTTATTTAGGTACATGGTTTTTTTTGATGATGGTTACGTTCAATATCGGCAACATAAAGACATACGTTTGATAAGACATCAAACAAATCCAGTATGGAACGATGTTCATCCAGATTCTCAAGAGTTTATACAACAATATTTGATGAAATACCCTGAACGTAATATGGTTAGGCTTAATAAAAAACATTTTGTTCGGGCTGAATGTGAAAATCGATGGGTTTTAGCAAAAGTGCTGGAAGTTGACGCTTCACTTGTTAAATTATGTTTTACGGACAGTAAGCGAACCGAATGGATATACAGAGGCTCGTCGAGATTGTGGAATATATTTGAGCAACAGGCAAAATCAGTAAAAGGCATTCGTTTGAGACAATCCGGGTTGGCATATTTAAACAAACCGTACGTAGAATATACACTTATGGAAGAAGACACCACTAGCAGCGCAGTAAAAAATGTAGCTCGTAAAAGTACCAGTAAGAATTCAACTGCTCAAAATGACAATCATACATCACCTCTCATAAAAAATCAAGATACCTTTAAAGTTACCACTCTTTCTTTACCTTATGGCGTTCCTCAAACAAAACAATTTGTCATTCATAACTGTGGCCATTCTTGTATAGAGTGGACCGCGTATGATTATAATAAAACGAAAAGAATCAGCATGTTAGCTACACCGCTACATTTTGGATTTATAAGATATATTGCACTTTTTAATGATGTACAAAAATGTGTTATGTATAAAACTCCGTGTGGTCGTACTATTAGAAACATGAAGGAAATGCATGATTATCTTTTTAGTACTAAAAGTAAAATGACTGTCGATCAATTTGATTTCAATAGTTGGGTAAATCCCCTAATGGAGTTCAAGGTTTTAAAATCGATTAAATTCCTGCACGATATATCAGACGGTAAAGAATTCAGACCGATTACCTGTGTGAATAACATCAGCCATAGACTTCCACCAAATATGGAATATATTACTGAGAGACGTGCAAAAGCTGGCGTCAACTTGAATATAGAAAACAATTTCTTATGTGGATGCGACTGCACTGATAATTGTCAAGACAAGTCTAAATGCGCTTGTTGGCAAATGACAATCGATGGCCAGAAAATTTTACCTAATCTCGACAAGGACCCAAACATGGGCTACAACTTCCGGAGATTACCTGAACGCGTCTTGACGGGAATTTATGAATGCAATAAGACCTGCAAGTGCTCAAGTACTTGTATAAACCGTGTAGTACAAAATCCTCTGTCACAAAAGTTACAGCTGTTTTTAACGGAGAAGAAAGGTTGGGGTGTACGGTGCTTGAACGACATACCCCAAGGAAGTTTCATTTGCATTTATGTAGGTAATTTACTTACTGAAACAGACGCTAATGAGGGGGGTAAAAATTACGGAGACGAATATTTGGCCGAGTTGGATTATATAGAAGTAGTGGAAAAAATTAAAGAAGATTATGAAAGCGAAGTTCCTCCAAGTGATGCAGAAGATGAAAGTAATAAGTCTGATAATGAAAGTGGAGCATCGATTGGAAAAGTTTCATCAGATGAAGACTTTCAAACTACTACTGGTAATTAATTTCAACTCGCATTTTTTTTTTTCTGTTGGTACAATATAATAAGAGGTTTACTAATTTAAGTTTAAGCAACCGTGTAAAATGTTAACATTTTTTGTATGTATACTATATTTTATAATTACTGTTTATTTTCCAGAAAAATCAAACTCCGAATCTAACATTATATCAAGATTGCGTAAACGAAAGGCTGTCAACAACACTACCAATGTGAAAAAAGATGGAAGTCATGTGCCTTCAAAATGGAATGCAAATTCCATGAAAAATAATCCCTTGCCTCCAAAGTCAATTCGTGAATTCTATGGTAATAATGAGAGCGTGTATATTATGGACGCAAAGACTACGGGTAACATTGGACGTTATTTGAATCATTCATGTAATCCAAATACATTTGTACAGAACGTATTTGTCGATACCCACGACCTACGGTTTCCTTGGGTTGCATTTTTTGCACTTCATTATATATCTGCTGGATCGGAACTTACATGGGATTACCGTTATGATGTAGGTAGCGTCCCTGGAAAAGTTATGAAATGCCACTGTGAATCAGTTTATTGCAGAGGAAGGCTTCTTTAAAATATATTCATATTTGAAATAATTATTTTATAAATTGACTGAGTATTTATGGTATTAAAATTAGTTTTTAAGATTTCATTTTTTTAAGTATAATAACATGTCTATGTTGTAATCTTGTATTTTTAATTTTAGAAACTTTTACACTTATAATTATTAACATTCACAATTACAAAAATTTAGAGAAAAAAAAACCCCCAAAAATATAAAACAAATATTTAATTATTTGACGTATTGTTTCTCTGGAATTGTTTAACCACCAAAAGATGTTGACCAGAAAGGCGTCATTGGTTGTGGATGTTGTAGGTAAGACATGACAATTGCAGATATAGAAAGCCTATAAAACAGAGGTTAACATTTTAAATTTATTTGTTCAGTATACTTGATTGATGTTATTAATAAAACCTAAAACATGTTTGTTAGTTAACTGTAAATAACTATACTCACATGAAGCTGCTAAATATTTGTTTAGTGTCGTCGGTTGATTTAGAATTTCCAAAGCTTATACACGAACAAAACATTGCACACCATGCAGCCCCCTTTAACTGAAAGTGATATGCATACTTTTAAACAAAATATTAAGTAAAACGAATATGCCACGAGCATCAACTCGTTTAATATACAGTTATTGGTTTTTTTTAATTTTACGCATTTTATGTCCTTCAGGACAAAAATAAAAAAAGTTCAGAAGCTGAACATGTCTTGGAAAAGGTTATATTTTAAAATGAAATCTTACTTTCATTAGCAGTCCACACATACTCAAAGCCATCCCCAGTATGTTCATATAATCGGATGTCAAATCTTCACCGGGTAATATTGGTTGTGAATCACTACTGGCGTACCGTTGTTTAAATCTGGAGAAAATAATTTTTTTTCAAACATTAATCACAATGTCTTAACTATTTAAATAAATACAAGTATTATCGCAATTGTTTTAATAATAAATTAACTAAACCGTATATTATAATAATTTTCTGATTTCTCGTTGTCATACCTGTGTTCTTTTTCTGGTCTTCTAGGATCGGACGAATGATTTAAATACATTTTGTCGATTGAGTAGAATTAATCGTATTATTTCACGTTTTTATTTAATATAATGTATAAATGTGTGTAATGTAATTAATCTACAAAATTAATGAAAGTAAAAAAAAAATTAACTCGTCTAGTTAACACCAATTTAATGGGCAGAGCCAAGGTTCATTGGTCGTTATCACTGTTGACCAACAACCGCGTCCACGGTGGCAACAGCGACCAACAATTTTAACTAGGGTCAAGGCAAACTAATAGGTGTGTCAGCAGCTCGTGTTATCAATTCTTACAATATGGTGGACCTTGTGACAATAAAAATTGTTGATAGTGTTCTTATCGGCCCGGAATACGGTTATCATATTTCATTTATGAACACGTTGGCCGTTGCTTGCTCAACGACTTGGTGAATGGTTGGTCATTAAGCAATCTTGGTCTCGTCGCTTCCGTCCTAAGGTAATTGGATTTATGATGTTGTTAAAATACTAATTGAACTATTAAATTTTAAATTATTACTTTACGTTGCAGGTTTATTTAGTATAACATAATATACGTTCTGTGTTGGAACTCAAAATGGTTCCTACGGCAAAGGAGATTAGAGACCGATACATCAAATTTTTTACCGACAAAAAGAACCACGAATACATACATTCCTCGTCCGTCGTTCCTTTGGACGATCCCACTTTATTGTTTGCAAATGCTGGCATGAATCAGTTCAAGCCCATATTTTTGGGTACTGTAAATCCGTCGTCGGATATGGCCAAATGGAAACGTGCGGTCAACACACAGAAATGCATTCGCGCTGGTGGAAAACATAATGATCTAGATGATGTCGGTAAGGACGTTTATCATCATACATTCTTTGAGATGCTGGGAAATTGGTCTTTTGGCGATTATTTCAAAATTGAAATATGCCAATGGGCTTGGGAATTCCTTACTCAAGAATTTAATTTATCTCCTGACAGATTGTATGTGACTTATTTTGGTGGCGATACAAAGTCGGGTCTCGAACCAGATTTAGAATGTAAAAATATTTGGCTTAATTTAGGACTTCCCGAGAGCCATATTATTCCAGGTAGTATGAAGGATAACTTTTGGGAAATGGGTGAGACTGGTCCTTGTGGTCCTTGCTCTGAAATACATTATGACCGAATTGGTAACAGATTGGCAGCTGATTTAGTCAACCAAGACGACCCTGATGTTTTGGAAATTTGGAATCTAGTGTTTATGCAATATAATCGAGAAAAGGATGGAACATTAAAGAATTTACCCAAAAAACATATTGATTGTGGTATGGGCTTTGAACGGCTCGTTTCAGTCATTCAAGACAAGCGGTCAAACTATGATACTGATATTTTTCAGCCTTTGTTCATAGCCATTCAGAGTGGTACGAATGCAGCTCCATACGAAGGCAAAGTCGGTGCAGATGATCAAGATCAAAAAGATATGGCCTATAGAGTGCTTGCGGATCACGCTAGAACATTAACTATTGCATTATCTGATGGTGGACGACCTGACAATACTGGCCGAGGCTATGTATTAAGGCGTATACTTAGGCGAGCAGTTCGATACGCTACAGAAAAGTTAAACGCTAAACCTGGATTTTTTGCTAGTTTAGTACAAGTTGTTGTTGACATACTTGGGGATACATTTCCTGAAGTGGTCAAAGATCCACAGCAAGTAGTTGATATAATTAACGAAGAAGAAGAGCAATTTTTAAAAACATTATATCGCGGTCGTAATCTTTTAAGTAAAACTATTTCAAAGCTGACTAACAAAACCATACCGGGGGAAGTTGCCTGGAGGTTGTATGATACGTATGGTTTCCCCGTAGACTTGACACATTTAATGGTTGAAGAAAAAGGATTATCTATTGATATGGAAGCATACGAAGAAGCCAAGAAAAGAGCTCAGCTTGTTAGCCAAAATAAAGTAGACGGTAGTAAGGAAATGGTTTCTTTGGATGTTCATGCTCTTGCAGATTTACAAGCAAAAGGGGTACCTACAACAGACGATTTGCCAAAGTACGATTATAACGCTTTATCGGATGGACCAAATGCCGAGTATACATTCAATACATGTACATCAAAAGTTTTGAGTATCAAAATTTCTAGTGGTTTCGTCCAACAAGTAAGTGCATTAGAAGAATGTGGAATATTATTGGATAAAACATGTTTTTATGCAGAACAAGGTGGTCAAATTTATGACGAAGGTTCTTTAATCAAGGACGAGGACACAGAGCTGTATATAAAAAATGTTCAAGTACGAGCTGGATACGTTTTACATGTTGGCATTCTGGAAAGTGGTTGTTTGAAAGTCGGGGATCAAGTAACTCTAAAAATTGACGACAAAAGACGTCGCCTAATAATGAATAATCATACAGCTACTCATACTCTGAACCACACGTTGCGTGTTGTTTTGGGTGACAGCTCTAATCAAAAAGGATCTCTGGTCGCTCCAGATAGATTACGTTTTGATTTTACAAACAAGTCTGCAATGACCGTGGATCAAATTGCCAAAGTCGAAAAACTTACAAATGAAGTAATCGATCGAAACGATGCTGTGTATGCCCAAGTTACCGCTTTAAACGATGCTAAAAATATTAAAGGATTACGTGCCATGTTTGATGAAACTTATCCAGATCCAGTTCGCGTTGTTTCGGTTGGTGTTCCCGTAGAAAAATTACTTTCAGAACCACAGGGAACTGCGGGCTTAGAAACTTCTGTAGAGTTTTGTGGGGGCACACATTTACACAAGACTGGCCATATGGAGCGTTTTGTAATACTCACCGAAGAGGCAATAGCTAAAGGTATTCGTAGGATCGTTGCGTTAACCGGTCCAGAAGCAACTAAAGCCTACAACAGGGGAGAAGAACTTAGGAAACAAATAACGAAACTGAGTCCGAAAGATTTGAATTTGCCTAAATTAATAACCGAAGCGCAAGATAAACTAAGTAAGTCGGTAATGCCTTACTGGGTAAAAGAAGAATTAAGGCAAGTCTTGTCTGGCCTTAAGAAGGGTATTGCAGACGAAGAGCGAAAACGACAAGCAGCCGTCGCTGCAGTTATCGTGGAAACGGTAAAAGACAAGATAAACGCAGAAGCGGATAGAACGGTGGTTGTGTGCAAGTTGGACGCAGGGTCCAATACAAAAGCGTTAGACACAGCTTTAAAACAGGTAAAGACGACTAGACCAGAAATCGCGGTCATGTTGATTTCTGAGGATAAAAATTGCGGCAAAATATATTGCCACTGTGCGGTTTCTAAGGACCTAAATGCTAAGGGGCTCAAGGCTAACGATTGGGCAGCGAAAGTTGCAGCGGCTATTAACGGCAAAGGTGGAGGCAAAGCGGATTCCGCTCAAGCGTCCGGTACGAATAGTCAAAACGTAGATGAACTTGTAAAAATAGCAGAGGAATTTGCATCTCTGTCACTCAGTTAAATTTTTATAAAGAATATAATGATTTTTTTATTTTTATTTTCATAAAATCAAATGAGTGCTACTTGTATCAAATTTTTAAGCATAATTTTTTCAAAACTGTTCAATATCCAGTTGCTAATTTTGTATAATTTCAAAGAATATACAGATACGATTTTTTGATCATTGAAAGTATTGTTCATTTTTTGTTGATATTTATGGAGTCAATATTTTGTTAAACAAAATGGTTTTATAAAATTTCTCAATAAGACCAACTAATAATCAATACTCAATAAGAATATATTTTTAACATACATGATATTTTTATTATTAATTATCAGGATCAAATCTATTATTCTTTATAACTAGATTGTTCTTAAAATAAATGGTGCTTAAATAACTGTTTACAATATAAGCTGAGATTGTATATTAAAAATATAACAACAAAAAAAACATTTAATAGTACTTCTCAATAATAACCATCAATTTAGTATTAAAAAAAATTAAACAAATTACAAATAAATGTATGTTTAGAAACGACAAACAATTTAATTAAATATAATTGTCTAATTATAAAAAGAGTAGGAACATGTTAATTTTTAAGCTGTAAATTGTATTACAAAGTAATTTTAGCAAATGTTTGGGGTGATTTCACAAAATTGTCTCACTAGACATTATATAAGTTTTAAATTTAAATTATTTCATTTTTATAATGTTTTAATATAACTAAAATGTATGTATATAATAGTAATAAATAAAAATCAGTACTTAATCATAATTTGATTATTCCTTATGTACACATTTTCTATTTTCAACAATTTATCTTGCACGGACAACATGTAAATTAGTTTTATATAGGCAGGTACACATTACACGGGGTAAAACATAATACCTACATTTGGGATAATACTTTAATAAAAATTAAATTTAGTATTAATAATAAACCAACATTATTATTGTACAATTCATTTTTTTTTCAATGTTTGCATTCTATCAATAATTGTTGTAATTAATGAAATTAATATAGGTTTAAGTATTGGGTACTATCCTTTAAATTTGTACCCTGTTCCTTAGAAATAGTTAATCATAATATTTGACAATGTTGGCGTTGTAACAATATATATATATATGTTTATAGAAAACTCAAAAAAAAACAAAGCGCAATAAACTTAACAATTTGGTTCTTTTGGTATGTTTGTACGCCGGCATTGTTGTTTTCGACGTCAAGTGAGCCTGCAGACAAAATATACATTTTTAAGTTATCACAAGGTAATTGTGCATATAACCTAAATCAATACCTAATTTTTTATATATTATAATATGTAGAAAACTTACCCGAGTGATGCAACCCGTTATTAGAAGCGGTCACCAATGTTTGATAATCGTTCCACTTCCAGTTTTTCCCCGGTAGTTCTATTTGTTTGCAGGAAATCAAAATAAGAATATACCTGACAAAAGAGGTAATAATAACAATTGAGGAGCTTACTGTAGACTTTAATGGTCCCATCTGTGGCGCCCAAAGGATTTTTCGAAATACAATGGTATGTACCAAAATCGGTGTGTTTCACTTGATTGATGGTCAATCTCATTTCTACTTTATATGCGTCTCCCTTGAACGACGTATCGTAGTCATCTCCTATAAATCAAAAGAGGTTTCCTTTCATTATGTTTATTGCATTTATTAGTTTCAGTAAATGTTGTATATTTTGTACCGATGCTCTGCATGATCTATCTAAAATCGTTATTCTAATAATTATTATACTTTATTTATTACATGTATTTTTTCAGAGTTTACACTGTTAAAAACTACCTTGAGACAACAGTATGTTGCCGTTGTCTGACGACCAATAGTTTATGGATTTTGGAAATGCTTCTACAAGACATTCCAAAGATAGTCTATCGCCAATGAATGCACCGACCAGCTGGTTTTGTATCCACACCATTGGAGCGACTAAGACATGGAAATCATGTGGTTATTGTCAGGTTTGAATGACATATTGTATCATTAGGAAGAAAAAAAAAACCTACAGTGAACGATTAGTGTAATTCTCTTGCTAACTGTTGGCGGTACACCGTTAGAGGCAATGCACAGGTAGGAACCCATTTGTTGTCTTGTTACCCGTTGAAAGGTCAGCGTTGAACTTTCTACAACAGCAACTGAAAAAAAAAATGTTAAGTTGTCATATTAAAGTGGTCAATTTCTTATTTAATCACTGTCAGTCGGGAGCCATAATATGCATTGTTATTAAGAATAAACGATTTCAAATGTATGGCACTGAACGCCTTGATTAGAATTTAGTATCACGGCGCAGTAGTTATGCAGTTTTAGGACATGTACGTCAGCGTGCATGGTTTAAAACCATAGTAGATAAAAATATATTGTAAACAACACCATTAAGTTTTTATAAATAAATAAAAGTGGTTGCTTGTGAAAAAGGGGTTCAGTCAATATTTTGTACAAAATGAGTTGGTTAAATACACCGAAAAACTCTATCATTAGGGCTTTATAGTTTAAGCTAAGTGTAATATTCAATGATAAAGAAGTGTTTGTTGAGTTAAGTCACATTTTTTCTCATTTTAGTGTATTTTGCGATAAGTCGACTTAAACCTTTTTGAATTTACAATTTAATAGTGTTACAAGAGTTATATCATTTTTTTATACCGACTTAAATCTTTTTGAACCATCTGTTTAGCGATAAAAGTGTTATGTCTATTTTCCCACCATATTTTATTACATTATGCTATCAAGAGTGTTGTAATCACAACACTATAACTAATATCATTAAAATACAATATCGAAATGGATGAACAATATCCAGTTCGAGAAGAACCAATTAACAAGTAAATGTTGAGCCAAATCAAAAAACTACAGACTCTAGTAAAATATCTAGAAAAGCTAATAATGACAAAAATAAACTAATAAAACATGCCTAATATAAAAAAAGTTTGTATTTTGTTACAATTAATATTAAAATGTATTAGGATATTGTATAAAAAATATTATTATTATTAAAATAACTTTTTTTATAGAAAAAAAAATGAGTAAATTCAACTCAATAAGATTTGTCAATTTTTTTTTTTACTTTTAACAGTTATTATTTGTTATTAATTTTTATGAATTCTAATTTATACAGAAAAGTACAAAACAAGTTGTTCTATTATCCTATTCAAAACATATTAATCTTATTTTAATATCTGATCTTACATATATTCTTCTAAGCCTTATTTTACATTTTCTGAAAAGTTCACAGTTGTTGACTTGACCTCTTTTTCATGCGCACCCACAGTGAAACGTACCTATTTATTTTATTTTATTATTAAAACGATATAAGTTAATTGTTATTTTTTTGTATCGTTCATTTAAAACCCATCCCCGAAAAAGTAACAGTGTGTATGAATAATAATGGCGAGCTAATAATTTCATCTATCATTATATTGTCTGTATCCATTATAAATTATGCATGCATGATAGTGTAAGAGTTGGTAGGTAGTTTAGGTACCACCACAGTGTTGGTAGCCACTATCGCGTTTTTACGCTTTGCTTACTATGTCTGTCATACTGAAAAATAAATGAGGTATGAAAATCCAAAAATAAAATCGACCAGGTTAGGTGTACACAGGACAGTGGTTCGACAAAACTTATTCCACCCATATATTATTTAACTATCGGTCCTCGCCACTAAATTTTCGAGTCTTTATCCTGTAATACCACCAGTTATGCTTGTAATATAATATTTCCAATGCTACTCCCGTGGGACATGCGAATCGCTGTAAACATTGTAATTTCCAACTGTAAATCTGACGTGTGTTGTATGTACATTTATGCTGTATTTTAAAATCTTCTATATCGATTACCGGTTAACATATTGGACAGACTTATGTTCTTGTTGTCTTCTCTGCGCCACGTTATTGTTGGGTTTGGATAGCCGGTGGCAGCGCATTGCAACGACACGTTACTGCCTTCGTGCACAACCATATCCGAGCTCGTGGGATAGTCCAAAATGTCTGGTGGCACTAAACATATATAGAATCAAATTAATTTACTATCTAAAGAGATTTTAGAAAAAAATTAAAGATATAGGTTAGGTTAGGTTAGGTTAGGTTTGATAGGTTAGTTATGTGCAAAAAATTGCGTTTTACCAATTTTCAAGTTTAATTTATTTAAATACCAAAAGTACAAACTTTGAATAAATAAAAATCTGTTTCAACGTAATCCGACAAAGAGGAGGCAAATAAATTTGTATATTTTTAACACATTCATCAAAATGTAGTAGATAGTCTCACAAACTTCTTACCGCCAAAATTGCTTATCCAAATTAACCTGAAAATAAATTGGCATGGTCGAAATGTATAAAAACCACATTTTTCTTGAATGTCGCCTACAAAAAAAAACTCTTTAAAACCCGCCCGCTTACAATCCTCTTAAATAATAATAAAAATACCTACTATTTAAATTTTAAAAAAAAAATCAGGGCAGGTGACTTCTCTTTTGCCGGATGAGGTGCGAGGCGAAAAAGAAGGGAGAGTAATCTTTGTAATATATTATTATTATTGCCGGCAAATAAGTGGAAGTTTACAATTGAATCAGGCGACACCTGTGCAGTGCGATTGTAAAATATTATGTACACAGTAGGAATAAAAAATAAACCCAGAAGTGAAATAAAATAAAATATTTGCGTCGCGAGTAGAAAACAATAAATCAGTTTCCGTGCATAACACAAAAGAGTAGTCTATAAACAAACAAAAAAAAACATATGTACGTATATTACATTATAATATATTGAGTACTCAGGTGGACTACTTGTGGAGGGGGGGGGGAAGCTTATTGTATCTTATGAAACCCCAACGTCCCCAAAGGTTAGTCCTGAAGTGACCGACGGTGTTAGAGGTACGTTATTTTATATCCCGAACAAAAATCTAGTTGGCTTTTTAAGTCATAATCGATTTTCCTGACGGTGTTATTAAATTACTGTTTAATTTCCAATACAATGCAATGATATAATATTTTATTATTGTGTACACATCATCATCATCCCTAACGCAGACGGCGGAACGTCATTGTTTTCAGACGAATGAAATTATGTAATATTATATTATCAATTATGTATTGGAATTATTGTAAGGCTGTTAGTTGAATATGGATATATTATATGGGTACATTCACATAGCCTCAATTGACAATAATTATTATTGAGGGGCATAACGCCAAAACAGTTTACTGTTCACCAGTAATTTATTACCGTTTACATTTAATATTGTGTAACAGTATAGTATTTTAAAACCAAATTGACCCAACGCTAAAAATGATTCACTAAATGGTGGAACTAATTTTTTTTTTTGGCACTGACATTTAAAATATAACAACTGGCTCTTTCTTAAAATTATGGATTTGTGAGTTAAGCCGCGTCGATTATGGGTTTTCTATCATTTTTGCCTAAATTGATTTTGTTCTTACTGACTTTATGGCAAAAGGTTAACAGTTTGCTGTATATTGATAAGTATTTATTTTAAAGAACTCGTGTAAAAAGTAAAAATAACTGACATTTGAATATTTAAGTAAAACACCGAGCGTACTCGTGTCTTTTGAAATTATTATGATTGAAGACTGAATGTATACAAACATTAAATCACTCTAAAAAAAAAAAACGCTCCGACATAAACCTTTAAGCTGTTAATATTAAATATCAATAAAAATCACTGTACTGACAATATTATGTTTATAACCGTGTTATTCGATTTTTAAATATTTTTTTCGACAAAAAAAGTTTGACTACACACGTTTTTCCATTGACTTATTTATATTCAAAACAATACCTTGAAGCTTATAGACTTATTGACTGGTAAATTAATTGACATGTTCGAAATTTATTAAAACCTCTTTTCTTCTTCTTAAATACTGCCTATATAAAACTTCTTCAAAACAGACCGCATGCAATCATCAATTATTTTGTGTTGTTACGAGTTTTGTTGAAAATAATTATTATTATTTGATTGTAATGTGCATTCACCGTTTTGTTATCCGATATGTTATAGACATACTTTCAACCCCAAAATGCTTCTACAGATGCCTATTAAAAGCTATCCATCATAGCTGTACTACTAACCCACGACGTCCAGGTAAGCGATTTGGTTTTTCATCGGGTCCGTGTTGATCTGACACATGTAGAACCCTCGGTCCGAAGGCCTGACGTTTCTGATGTGCAATCTCCACACCCTGCGGTCCGTTTGTGTTATGACTATCCGGTCATTTTTGGTTACCACGTGACTCTGTATGGACAATATTGTCTGCGTGTCCACCCGAAGCCACGCCACCTGCAACCAATCATATTTCACGTAAGTATATATTATTTTTCACTTAGGGCCTTAGCTGGGCCCAATTTCAAAATTTTGGTTTCCTCCAGGAGACGCAAAAAACTATTTTTCTAGGTACATATTTTACAACAAAAACTTTGCCTAATTTATTGGGCCCTTGTTCTAATCAAAACTTTTAATATTGAAAGTTTATAAAAAAAACACTGTTCTGTACATGAAATGTAACATTTTTATTCAATATCATGCACTATATTATAACATTAACATACCTAAAATAAAAGTGCCATATAGAAAACAATATTAACTTTGAGAATATTACAACACTTAAAAGTAGTTATTACAATATTTTAATTCGTGAGACTTTTCACAGTTGTACTTTGGTTTATAAAATAACACTTATTAGGCCCTTTTTCTAGTAAAATAGAATTACAGTACGTTTTCGGTATTCATACTGGGCCAACATTTTACCACAATATTAAATTTAAAAAAAGACATTTTTATACAAAAAAGCGCGTTTTGCAAAAAAAGCCAATTCCCTTGTAAGTATCTCGGACAGGCCGAGTTGGGACTGTACAACATAGTATTAAAAAATTTTGTCAACAAGTATGAGGCACGCGAAACCCGCATAAAGTTTCATAATTTTTTTTTAATCGGCCAAACTTCACCGCCGCATGTATTCAACAAAGGGTAAGTGTCGTGTTGGCAAGTACAGTCCTTTGACATACCTAAGTTTAGATGGTACGATAACGAGAAAATAAACAGTTATAGCTTCGTTTTGATTAAAAAAAAAACAATCTTAATTCGCCCATTTGTATTCCGCTCGAAAATCGCATTTCCGAGTATAAGTACCTTATGCTTTCTCCATATACAGGGTGAATGTGTTAGTAGTGTTTTGACATTTCATGAAATAGCTGTAAAGTATATAAATGAAATACATACATTTTAAAACAATTAAAACTAGTTTCTATAATATCACTAATACGGTATTAAATAGTAATACTAAAAAAAAAAAATTTAATTTCTTCATAAAAATAATTATAGATACAAATTTCGAATGTTAAAAAAAAACAATCCTCCAAAAATGTATCTTAAAAAAATATTGTATTTTACCAAAATTGAATAACAAAACTTAGTCGCATAAGATTCTATTCTACTAACAATTATTATCAAAACAAAAAATTAAGTCATACTTTATAACATGTCTATTCAATTTTTATGTTGATATACGGCCTGATGTTTCTTAAAATAAAGTAGGCGGATTAGGAGTAAGTTTAATAGTGTTTGGTATCAATAGCTCATGACACCGCCGGCAATGGACCACCCTGTATGTGTTTACATGGTACATCAGGGAAGTAATTGACAGGTCTCTATTTAGCTAAATTAAGTGTACAGTTAACATAAAATATTAGTTTAATGATAAGAGGAGACCATCAGTCTTTATGAAATCTTATTTTTTAAAACTCCTGCAGAGGACTCTAAGCTCTCTGAGGACTCCAGAGCTATGGGTCGGACCACTGTTGGTCTTAAGTGACTTTGGTGTATCTAACCCGTGTAAAATCAACTAGCTATGACGTGGTTTCAGTGAATCAAAGGAACATACCTAAACCGGGATATTCGGATAATTAGGCACGGGGCCCAGGAATAAAATATAATAAATATGGCGGAAATCCCCAAGAGTACAATAGATAGTGCGCGTTCGCGTGTGAATACGTCGGTGACCATATCCCCTCTGCCACCCTCTACCACCGAACGCCGTTATTACCGTCTACCATCCCTACAGCGGCTTTATGCAAACGTGTATATAATGGCACACGTGAAAATTTTTCAAAAAATAATAAAATAATAATGATAATAAACCGGACAAACGGCCGTAAAATGCAGTATTATCATCTGCCTATAGTCTATATCCATCTCTCTCTTTCTACCTCCCCTATGTGTGTGTTGTGTGCATGTTCAGCGTGTCTACCACATTTTTATCTGTGTGATTTTATGCGTAGGATTATCACAACTCAAGAGCTTTTGCTGCCAATTTTAGCATCCCCAACTTCTCCAGGTTTCTCCTGCTTTACTACTCCATCAACCCATCGCTTCTTTGGACGTCCCGTTGGTCTCTACACTACCGCCATTTGTCACATTCGACTGAGATGAAATGCAATTTGTTTTTGTTTTTTAATAAATAAGTACAGAACGCCTCCTAATTATCGGCCGAGACGCGAGAGTGGCATTTGCACTGACGATTGACATTTGCCGTGACACTAAAATGTCACAAGGGGTTGACGTCTGAAAACAATGGGTCGAGTGGACTTTCTTGAGTTATAATATAGTCTTATAAATACTACAAGCGGGCACCTGGATAAATTATAAATAATTGGCGAAAAGGGTGACACCGCAGTCGTTGGCCGAATGTCAAAATCAACACTCGCCCAGAGTAAGTTTTGCATTAAACCTTCTCGGACATAAATACTAAATACAAGTATAACGACTTAATTGAAAATTGCACAAAGATCCAGCGGGATAAAGCTCCATAGTTTATGAATTCTTGTTGTTTGAGAGCTTATAATGATAGCAATATATTGGATCCAATGAGTGGATTACAAACCCAACCAAATATTCACAAATGTATGAATTTAAAAAGTGAATAATGTTAAATTACTTATTCGTATGGCAATTACCAAATAATTTTAAAACGATTTTAACACAAACGGCAACAGCTTACTATTTAGTTAAATCAACCACAACCAAACGAAAACTGATATAAATTTATAAATAAGATATAGTAGATCTAAAAGTATTCATTTTATATCGATGTGATTTAATTTTAATTTTTGGTCTTTTGTTCAAGTCAATAAAAACATAATTTAATAACGCACAAATGATTTTTATTATACGTGTTAAATACAACGAAACTATTAAAATATGTCAAAATATTTATTAAAAAGGATTTTTTCTTATTTGAAATAAAACATAAAATGTGTTATACCTTAAAAGTTATTGTACAATAATATGACAAACTTATTTCTTTATATTACAATTCGGTTAAACTGGTTACAAATTTATAAGAAAAATCATTTTTTTTTTTAATTTTTAATTAACTTACTGATATTAGCCCCTTCAGTCAGGCAAAACAAAATCAATCTCATCAGTATGAGACGACTCCGCGAAACGATAACCAATCTTGTCCAAGTGATCACTTATGTATCCTGTGTAGGAATTCAACTTGTTTATAAAAAAATCGTAGTGGGCGTCTATGGTGTTTTGAAAGAGAACATTTAGGACACTTCCATTTCCACGTTCATTCAGTAAATCCTGTGGATTCAATTTAATGTGTTTAGGGACACAATGATTGTGCAAATCATTCTCTAAGATAGCAGCATACCCGGTGATTTGTCGGTTAAACTCCAAAATTTCTCCAGCAGTATTTTCCACACTGGGGATGTTATGCTTGAGATAACTTTGAATAATCAATAGAGTAGAGTGAAATTCACAGTGTGCATTTCGCTTGTCTAAAGATTGAAGATTCTCAAATGTGCGCAACAGTGTAAGTATAGTAAGTTCACCTTTTTCGAGACTCGCTTTAAACTTATTCCAACAATCATTTGCGTTTTGATGATAATAATATGACATATTATTGCACTCGGTTACTGTAAATGTGATTAACCAGAAGAAATTAGACAAGTTCGGTCCGTAACCACATGCCATCAATAAAGGGATTACTTGTAGCTTATGGATCAATTTGCAACTCAAACTTTTATTGCAAAAATCTTCGACAACCACCCAGGCCTTCTGAAACTTCGAGTTAACCTGTTTGGACCACGTCATATCTTTCCAATTTTCTATTCGACAAAGAGAGTTTGCCTGATTATCCTTCTCGAGAGGCGTCTTTTTTGCATTGATTGTTAAGCATACGGCGATCAATAAAAACAAAATTTTAGCCATGAAATTGTTTGTAAATTTAGGTTTTTTAGACCAAAAAAAACGAATATCACTTGACTAGTCTATAACGAAAACAAAAAATTTTGATATTATGTGCAGTGTAGTAGACGACTAACGACATAACTCGACTTGAAAAACAATCCGACACGCACTTATTTGCCTAAGACATGACGACGTGTTGGTATCAAAATTCATTATAACGTCGGTAGTTATATTGATATGAACTAAATATACTTGGATTTATTACTGTGCATGATAGTTTAGTGTAGATAGTTTCCTTTTATGTGTTTTTACGTGCTGCGGTGTCTGCCAGTGTCGAAATTTTATATTTCATATCGAATTTCGCAAGTAAATTTTTGTCATTATACGATATTTACGGGGCGTAAATATCGTATAATGACACTGATAATCACTGATGTAACCGAGCGCTCAAAAGTTGGACGGCCATCTGCAGGCAATGCCAGTTTGGTTGCAGATACAGGAACATCAAGGAGCGCCACACCAAAAGTGACATGTCTCGGTTGTGGAAAAACGTCATATATTTCTCTAAATGGACATTTGGCTAAAGCCTCTGGATCGTGTGCTCAAATAAGAGTTCAAAGAATTATCGATGGCTTACCTACGGGCACTCAAGGTAATACCCAACGACAGACAGTGGATACGTCCCCGGTAAATAATATATCAAACTCTGTTGATAATGATATCTCCATTAATCAATTAATCCAAGAGGCAACACATTTTGAGACGGAATTTATTAGATTCGTTTAACTAACACCTCAGATCGAGACGGTAGAATTTTTCGACTCTTTAGTCTCAACACTTGTTTGCTTCCATTGAACCATCCGACAAACTAAATGTGCACTTGCAATTTTAGCCATTGCTAAGGTAATGTTGGCATGGGACTATGTCCCATCAAAGTTCCGAACTGGGCGAATCATATTAATTTTTAAAGGTAAAGGCACAGAAACTGATTTACAAAACTGGAGACCAATTACTATTTTCAGCGTCATTCGTCGCATAATTGAACGATGTCTTGACTAGGCAATAAGAGAAAGGATCCACTTCAG